CAGCGTGTCTGGCCACTGCTATTTTCTTTACCATTCTAGGCGCTCCGTTGAACTCGAGGAAAGGCTGAGAGCCATCGCGTCCGAATTAAAACAAAAGGAGATCACACGTGACAAGGTGACGTTGCCATACCTCTTCCAAATCAGCTCCAGTTGCCCATTATCCATCTGACTGGCCGATTACGAACGAAGAAGGATCCCCCTCAATAATGCACTAGACTGTCGCATGCTCATATCTAGGATAAAATGTTTAGTTTGGTTCTGCATGAGTCTGTCTACTAGTTGCCAGAAGCCATAACTTTCTACATTGGTGTGCGTAATTCCCTTTAGAAAAATCGTTGAGCTGGAAGAAGAACTCAGAATCGTTGGCAATAACATGAAGTTGTTGGAGGTTTCCGAGCAAGAGGTAAAGACAACAAGCGAGAATCGCGGTTACAATATTGGCGTGTAGCAAATTGGTTTTGCATAATTTTTAAGGCTCTAACTCACGTACGCACATGCTGTAATGCCCATTTTGGATGCATCCAACAAATTGTCTTTATCGTGCTCTACATGTTTATGTCTCGTTTTCGCCCACTTTAGTCTGCCCAACGTGAAGAGAGCTACGAGGAGACTATTCGTGATTTGACTGAACGACTAAAAGCCGTAAGCTTTCGACCGCAAGCAAGACTGCACGGCATGAAATACTGCATGCATCCTGTCTCCTTCCATCGTAGTCAGCTCGGGATGATACCTAGGTGGGCGGGTGATGAGGGCTTAGTGAGCGCCTAGTTCTCGGCGTCAGAAATTATGGGTTCACTCAGCCAGAGGCCGACTCATGAGAGAAATTGCATACTACTATAGTCAGACTCTTTATAGACTGACTTTCACGCTAGAAGGTTGTTATCGTTATTTTCATTTGTTTTACATGCATTGCTCTCCTTTACTCCCGCATGCACCGCCAAACTGCCTTTGCATTACGACCGCCGCTTTCTGGGTCGCGCTGCCTTTCTCGTGCAAATCGGTATGCAGAATGTAGAATTGGAGGAATTTTACAGTAAACAACGCAGCCTTTTAACGGAGCAGTTAAACGAGGTGAGCCACCTAACCTGGAGGAGTCCTATTACCGGTTGCCTCCGCTCTTGAGTGTCAAATAAGAGATTACTTGACTTTTTCGGATGATTTTTGGTATGCTACTTTTGGACATTGTCGGTAGTGACCTAATGTGTGCACCTGATTGCCAAGTCGAGTCTGGACAAAGGTGGCCTTCTAAAAACCGCCAAACCCGTTTATCGCATATTATCGTCTAGTTGGGATGTCGGATGTCGAAATTTGGCCATCCACTTGTTGGAATTACTTTTATCCAACAGAGCTCCGTTTCTTGTCTTGGAGGCAGATGACTTCGGGAAGTCCCCAGCGGATTTGTTTTACATCTGTTTTGAGTCTTCATCTATGGAGTCATACGATGACCCGTTTTATTGTCATCTGTCAGTGACCTTGTCCGTGGCAACACTGATGACATCGTCAGCAGCTGGCTCATGACACTGTCCTTGGCCAAATCACTCTTTGAGCCACTCGATGTTGTCTTTTTCAGCCCATCTAGCAGGCTACGTTCCATTGTTCAGTTACTCCATGCGTGTGCGCCTCTGATGCCCAATGGCGTTCTAGGATTAATAAGCGATCTTAGAAGTACGCAGTTCCTTTAGTGGGTGGCATACCGACTGATATATACCAAACTGGTTACATTTATCAAGTACAGTGCTTTAGCAGGGTAGGCTGGCATGTATTGACCTATGAGACAGCCTGAACATTTTATCGGTGCACAGTGAAAGCGACAGAACACCGCGTTACAAGTTGCTCTGGCATCCGCCTTATGGACTCAGCCCTAAAAAATTATGCAACCGTCCTCCGGAGAAGGAACCATAACGGGACCGATGTGAACAGGTTTTCGAGCAGACAATGGACACGTCGATCGCAATGTGACCTTAACGCACACTGTCTTTCCACTTTTTTTTACTGGTAGCTGACTGATCTCTTCTTTAGCGCTTTAAAAATGCGTCAAATTATCGCTGATTGTTCTGATTCTGGCTTGCTACTAATCGACAGGAACCTAATCCCGAAGTCGAGGGTTTTTGTGACTCCCTCGCATGGCACGTCTATCATTTTTCAGGCCCTTCCAGTTCGATACATGGCGAGACGTTCCGCGTCTTGAAAGTTTCACTACCTTCCAGTCTTGCTAACGTAAGTTATGCCGGCGAGGTTACAATGCAACCTATAGAGGACATTAAGAAAAGTGAGCGAAGTTTGCAACTTCCTCGGCCAGCCATCAACCTTGCAAAGACTTGCTTTCATTATTTGCGTTCCTGACGCAAATAATTTGCCCCTTTTTCTCTTCTGTCAACAAGTCAAGGAAATGGACTGCTTCGAGTAACTTAAAGTCACCCCTTCAGACGGAAAAGTACGGAGTTGAATTCACGAAAAGCCAATCGAGCCGTATTTAAATCATCATCATAACCAAAGTCGAAGTCTTGAAAGCTTTTGCGCTCACACTGCTTATGTTCAATTGATATCTGCAATAGTCGGGCCACTGCTGTTTTCGATGTGTTCTAGCCATACGCTACGTCCATCACATTACAAATAACGGAGTCCGTTCCTGTCGTGCCGGCCTAAAAGGGACCTTAGGTCGTCCAAGTTTACCCTGTTGCGGCAACCGAATGATGCCACTGCTTCCGCTTGGAGTCATCAACCGACCGCCAGTGAAGACGACTTCAGGCGGCCAGATGTGAAGTATTGTTTAACACTTTTCGCAAGGTCATTGAAAATGTTCTCAGATCGGCAATATACGTTGCCCAACATCAAAAATGGCCCTTCACTTCAAAGCGTGTAAAAGTCGCCAAGGGCGCCCTTAGGTCCGACTTACTCAGTAGTTATCGTGGCCGCAAGCAAAAATAAGAGTTCATGCCTCCACCTTCTGAGCTTGTTAGCCAGAGTCGCCTACTGCTTCTAACCGCAGTGAAGTAAGAAATAAAAGTGTCAACCGCATACCTCCAACTTAACCCTGTGAGAGCTAAGTAGGGTCAAGAATTGCATCGAACGTATTTCGTGACATTTGGTGACGAATATGACGACACTCATTCTTCTGCAATATACCTACTTGAAGATTTAATTGGATTTAATTTGGGATAGTTTGAACTTGCATAGTCTACTCACTCTGTGGATAGAGGGCCGGTGTTCTGAGTCGATCTTTTACACATCGCTTTCATACATAGTACGTTGGGGGCGACTGACTTTCTCTGGAGTAGTTTGACAGTCCTCCTCGTTTGCCGTGCTCTTCGATCATGCCCAAGGCTCCGCACATGGACAATTAACGTCCACATGAAACAATGCCTGCGTCCTTTTCCATTGAGCATGTTACTAATGAGTATAGCGTGTCCGCCAGCCTCGCTGCGCATGCATAATCTACCCTCCTCGAACTTCACATAACGCGCTAATTCCCAATTTTGCTGCCAGGCCGAACAGAGAGCTGCTGAGGCCGATCGCCAGGTTTCTAAGCTCCAGAACGAAGTTGATCGGCTCGAGGGTTTGTTCATTCATTCTTCATTTTGCGTGGTTTTATTCTTTGTTTATCCTACCTGTGCATGCCTTTGCTCATTTCGAATTTTCTGCCCTTCTGCCTCGACCGTCTGCTCGTGTTTGCATCTTCTGCACGTCCTTCCCGCATGACACTGGCCCTCTCACACTCCCTTGTTCAAGGCCCTTATGCGGGCTGAAGCTGCTGAGGCTGCCTCCAGGCGCTACGAACAAGAGATCCAGCGAGCGAACGGTAAGTTTTATTCTTTTTTTCTGCACATTTCGACCATGTTTTCGAATAACACTTTGTCGCCGGCCGGGGCGAAAAAGAACGCGTGTATCTAACCCTTAAGATGGAACCAGATCAGTGGAAGTTCCTCCCACGTGACCTAGGATAACGCCTATTAAATCTGACATAGCTTGAACCTTTGACTTAAGTCGTAGAAGCGTAAATTCAACGAGTAACTAAGACGGACATCAAGTCATCGGTCATACCGGGCCAGTTGCAGTTTAATTGGCTAATGGCAACTAAACCGGAACCGATCAGGCCATTGACCCCTTCTTTTTCGGCAGTACTTCTCGAGTTTTAACAGCTGTGACCGCCCGCAAGTACTGCGGATCGCTGCTCGAAGTCAAAACGAAATGCCCGTATCTCGTCCTGTAATCAAACCAGGTCGTTGAACGCTGCTCCTTAAATTCATATTTCCGTCATGGGCAGAATGGGTCAAACGTCCTCAAGCAACTAGAAGCTGGTCCGGTTTCATACCTGCCCCACCTTCACTCACCTCCAACACTAAACTGCGCTTGCACCCTCAGGAGTAATGTAGAGAAGGCCGGCTGCCTGTGAACAAGTCTTACGAAATTACCGCCACAAGTTTTCCTTTACCCAATCCAAGCGAACATCCGCACGGAGTGAGACCACTCCAGAACGGATAGCCGCGAAGTCGACCACGATAACCCATCTAAAGGGCATTCGTTAATAGAAGTCACAGCAGTTCCTCCTTAAGACCGACACGGCACCCCAAATTCTGGTGTCATGACTGTCGCTGCGTCTTGTCCCAGGTTATGACGGTCGTGCCGAGACCTCTCGTGTTAAACAACTGCGTTGTCGATGGTTTTTGGTGTGAGGGTGATCCGTTTTGCATAGTGGCCAGTCGCTCTCTCCACCCTTCCCCACTTAAAATGATCGCTGTCGGATTGGTTTGCAACACTTTACCCTTCGGCAGCCTGACTCCGCGCAAAATCGATGCGAGTGACAGTGTTGCATGGGGGACTGCGGTGTATTGTCAGGTTGCGAGTTCTCAGCCAATCAAATATTAGGCTCTGGCAACACTCGACACCCGGCACGCGGAGACACGCGCCTGAATTTACGATCGTCCGTTGCCTTCCATGTGCCTGCATGCTTGTGTGTGTATCCACGTCGCGCGCGCGCGCGCTAGCCAGGTCCGCCCATAAGCCAAAAGGAACACGAAATTCGGCTAAATTATCCGCATGTGATCGGTACGTGCGGTCGCAGCCATTGCGTTTGCATAGTCCGTATGAACACTGGGGTTACGCTGTTCTCTTCCATCGAATTAATCTACGCACATGCCCTCCCTGGCCACCCCCTCGGCCATTGACTTCCCTCTCCCCCTGGCCGCATACACAGATGTAGGTAGCTGACTACCCCGTCTAACCTTCCTGCATGTTTGGTATGCAAGCGCACTTGCCCGTTTTTACGGGCGTGAACTACTGAAATTGGCGTCTGCGCTCATAAGGTGGGACGTCTACTTTATATCAAAGGAACTCATCAACGTAGTCTTGTGTGGCCATTATGTGGTGGCTTAGTTTGGAGGGTAAAAGGGTAGCTGTCATTGTTAAACTGACTATTTTGCAGATGCGGCTCCTTTTTAATGTGGCCTTTATGGCACTCCCATCACAGTGTGGGATCCGAGCCAGGCGTTGGCGGCACGCCCAGGTGCGGTTTCGGCCGTGCCAGCCTCCAAATCTCTGTTGTGTTGGTTGAAATCCTGGTTATTGTTGTGTGGACCAGGGGGTGTGGTGGAACGCCAAGGTGAGGATCCGTCCGAGCCATCCACCTGCGGCCCCCCTCGTCCCCGGTTTTCTTGACTCTGTCTTGACACCGGGCTCGGGCGAGGGAGGAGGAGAGAGTGTAGGTAGATGCTACGCAAGTCTACCGGCACTATAAACCCCTGCGCAAGTCACCGTCCCTGCTCCCATCGCTGCTGCAGCTGTGGGGCACACGGTGGACAACATCGAAATCGATGGTCGAACTGTCATTTTGCAGATGCTGAAAATATTCTTGTACACAACCATTCAAAAGTTAAGAAGCAGACCTTCATAAAGCCGCTTGGGAATGATTTTAGCTGATATATTGAGATTCAGGACAGAATGCATACGTTTTTTTGCCTTCTGACCGCCAAAGAGAGCTCCAGCACGGAGCTCCAAGGCAAACTGGAATACCCATGTTCCCTCCTGCAATTAAGCGGTGTCTCGGGGCCCAGTTTCGGTAATCGGAGAGAACTGCACATCGCAAACTGAACAGGTAACACAGCCTCACTATGCCAAAGTGGACACAGTCCCATATGGACGGCACTCTCAGAGTTTACTGGCTACATCTTCTTCTGATCCGAGATTTGAAAGTTGAAACCGTTCACGCAGACCGGAGCAACGCTGCCAGCGCACTGATCTTCAAAAAAGCGGAGGGCCATTGTGCAAGAACAGTCCGACATTAGCCTCACTGTAATTGCCGCAAATGTCTTTGCAGCCGACCTTAATCGTTTCTGGATGTGCCGCGATGCATGAACAGGAAGAAATCAATGCAATTTTCGGACGAGTTAGGAATATGTTGATCGGCGTCTTTCCCCTCATCGAACTCTCATCCACCGTCTCTGCTACCAACGACCCAACATCGTTCTGCGTTCAGCTCTGTCTACGGGGATTCCCCGTGGTCTATTATGCTGCATAATGGTATGCTACCTGAATTACTCTGCTTGACTTACGTCCACAGACCAAAGTCCGTGTGGATGGCGAGGAGGATGGTCTCGTTAGTGGCACATTTGATGTCTTTCCGGGCTGTGTTCTCTCATCGACTCTATTCAACATCCTTATAAACTGGGTTCTTCAGCATGTGCTTGCAGACCACTCCGGTGATAGTGTGGGTCGGAGTCCTTGTACTGTGTATCTGGACTGCACTAATGTGGGACTGACTCGCTCGTCCGAAGAAATGTGCGTTGTCTTAGGCAGGTGCAAAGGCAGCCCAAGTGTGAATGGAAGTCAGCTCATAGTTGAAGGTGGTCGCCTGGAATTTCACAGTTCCGTATATCTACAAGCTCTCGGTATATGTTTAAACTTTTGGACTATTAAACAGTTTCTGCCAACTTTTTCCCAACTTTCCGCCAAACTAGCAGGATAAGTGTAATCGACCGTATGTTCAACCAGCTGTGCTCGTCGTTTGGCCACGTCCGGACCTCCTGAACCCGCATGAAATAAGTCTGATGACCGGGCTGTGAAAATACGAGTCCGCGTCAAGGCAATCTTTTCACCTGGATGTGAGGCGTGACCTGCGCGCTCGGAAAATATACCTTGTCTGGATATATCCGGTCGGTGATGCCTGCGCCCCATCCTCCGAATTCTTCTCCGATCGGCATTTTTGCGAACAACTGCGCAGTTAGTTGCGGACGTAACTCATTGCGCCCTCCTTACATGGTGACTGCCACGGGTCAGCTATGTATCACTCCGACCAGATGGAAAAGTCGTCGGAGACGGTACCTCGCCCGAAACCGATCCCGGCGGGCAACGACCTTGGGTGGCCAACCATAAGGACGGGTGAATGTGGTGGGCGTTGATCCTGAGCGCTGCGATATTTGGTTTGCGTGGCGGCGGGCGAGCTGACTCTGCTTCGGTTGGTAGTCGACTGCCCGTTGTCAGGAATAAAAGGCCATCATTCCGAAACATGGAGACGGCTGATCCAGCTATGATGGACATCATTGCATATAGTTTCGCATGATTTTGAATATTCCAGGTCTCGTCTGACTTAACTGCGGCCCACCACCCACCTGTTAAGGCTTTGGGTCTATTGACTAATCAAACTTGGTTTGACATGTCGCGTTTTCCCTACCTGCGGCTGTGGGTTACGGCTGGCCGACGGCAAATAACCTCGAAGTGGTCATTCTGGTCTCACTTGTCTTTGCCACTCTATATGCCTGAGAGGGACTCAGAAAGCTTGACCTGTCCTTCAGCGGCACATTTCTTAATGGACCAGGAAATGTGAAATGTTGACGCATTTATACCCTTGTTGCGACGTGGTAGGGAGGTGGTGTTCTCTCTCCGACTCATGCCCATAATTTAGGGAATCCATTCGACCGATGCTTGCATTCTCTATCCAGCCGCTTTAACATGTTCAGGAGTTTACCCTGCCGATTAACTCTAGCTTTCGCTCGTGTCTCACACGACGGAGGCATATTTTAATGGATTACTCTGACATTTCTGGTCTATGCATTTATCTTTGTTTTTAACAACACTGGCTGCGAAGTAAATAATTTTGTTTCTTTTCTACGTGCGCAGAAACGTTGAGTTCGGAAAGCAGGACGTTCGCAACCCTGCGCAAGGAAATGGATACCATGCTTGACGAATACCACGCGATTTAAGACCTCGGTTTTCCTTCCGTTTGCTCGTGGGTTTGTGCATGCCAGCGTCATGTCGGGGGTCCGCATCTGCATGTCAAAACGACCGCGCCTTGACCCTTGGCTACAGCCTTTGCCCCTCCCTTGTTTTTTGAATTCTACATCCCTGCACTGTTTGACATGTCTGTTTGAAGTGATTGTCTCGCCAGCGCAAGTCCACGCATATTCGTGCATTTTCGAGTACTTTTCACCGACCTTCGGTGTAATGATACTGCTCTCTGTCCTAGTCTTGAATTTTTCCAAGACTATGGCTTCTTATTCTTCACCAAACCTTTACCTTCTCTACTTCCGTCAGCATGTTTTAGAATAGTACTGATTTTTCTCCTGAACCATACCTGCGACCAAAACTAACCAAATGTCTTCATGTTTATTCGACCACGCCGGAAGTAGTCATTTTTATCAATCTCACGTCCCCTACAGCTAGTGTCTGCTTGCCTGACTTATGTCTTAGTTCTGTTATCTGGCAACCGGCGCCGATCTGATGTTAGTAATGATGAAAATACGTTTCCGCTGGCATAATTGTCTAAGGTTGTTCGTAGCAGGGAATTACCTCTCCTAGCTCCACGTTGATGACGAATACCTGTATGTCATAAACAAAGATAGTGCTAGAAATTGCAGAATTGCACGTGGACTTAGGCCAGCGATAACTTACTAGTCGCCCATCCCTGGTAACTATCGCAGCTTCATTGGTTAATTTATTCCTCATTACGAGCAGGCCGGTGAATCGTCCGTGCCCTTCACGGCGTAATAGCTCCTGGTTTCAATCTTCCTTTTTACCGAGTTTGCGCACATTCCAATCGGCTACCTTGATTTTACTAAGTGGAAGCTGTTCCAGAACCCGTATCGATTCGTCCGTGAGCTTTTATGACCTCAGATATCGGCGTTTAGTCTCCGCAACGCAAACATGACGGCGATTTGAAAGCATCAGTGAGTAACCACCTCAATTTTCTGGTGGGCGATGTCGCACGAATGAGGCGTCGCGCTTTTGCTCGCCGCAAAATCCAGCGGTGCTTAAGTAGTGTCCTCAGTGGTTCTCCTTTGTGCCGGCCGGTAGTGATGGGGTTTCTTCACACGCTGTGGGGCGCCCCAGCCGATACTTTGTCAGAATGTCTTTATGTGAGACATTAGTAAAGCAGGCGACTATGCACTCGAGTGGGACTTCCCGTACTTGCCATCCATGAGGACCGAACAGCAACGGGTTACTTGTGACGTGAGGCATACACATGCGGTGCTTCATCACGCATCACGTCTAGGCGTTCGGGCATATATGCTCTGTGTATATGGAGTGTCGTTATACAGGTCCATTGTACACTGCATCCTTTGAAATTTTACTTAAGTGGGCTGGCACCGCCCGCCGGGTAAGTGCCTCAATTTCAAGGTCTAAGCGTTCTAGTGGTGGATTGCTGACCGCAATCCATGGCAATTAGCTTCCAAATCAGAAATCAAGAAGACGGGATTGAGAGAACCACCGTATTGCTTAAGAACCCACGAGTGGGGTCGTAGCAACCACAGGCGGACGTACGGGACGGGTTCGATCGCCGCCTGAGTCCTGGCCTGTCAGGGTGGTAAGAACCCACAGACATATACAAGAACAATGGGCGTGCTTAAAAGCCTATACAAAACCAGTCTTCAAAAATGCGCAATAAGGTAGGATGGGTGCATTCAGTTGTCGAGGAGTGTGCAGAGGACAGGGTGGCGCTCGTGAGCTAATACACTCACAGTTCCATGGAAATGCGCCCGCAAAGGGCACTGATTGGACTACACACCCTTCCTATGTTACTGTTTGCTTAAAGCAGTAACAATTGCGTGCCACGCCGTTGGCACACAAGTGGCCCCTGCATATCGCTATGTGCACAAAGTTTCTGTTACCTGCAACCGGAATGTCTTTGGAGCCTGCAAGCTACAGTGCGATCAGTTGTAACCCTCATTTACTCGACAGTGGATGGGTTCATTGTTCAAGGCAGGCTGTTAATTTGTAAATTTCGCTCAGTCGGGTTCAGTCATCTGCGTCTGAAGCCGTCTTCCTATCCATCCTTGGCAAGTCGGTACTGATGCGTACTGTGCGTCCTCCAAGTCAAAATAGTAGCCTGTCTAGCAGAGGCTATATACTACTTCATTAAACACTTGATCCGCTGGTGTGTGTGCTAGTCGACAAAAATATGACCGGTCAGTGAGTAATGTCCTGTTTGCGAGTTCTTATAGGCATGAAATTTAAATTCAAGTGGAACGAGACCCTAGGAGACAGTTGTTACTGATGCATTCAAATTTTAGATGAACTCCTCTTGGAGAAAGAACGTTACAGGGGCATCAGCGGAGAATTGGACACCACCTTTGCCGAGCTTACGGCCTTCTAAGCTGTTGGACTACTGGAGGTTACATTCTTGTCGGAAGGCTTTGTATGACAGCGTTTTACCCAGCCCTCCTTCTGCAAGGCTTGTCTATGTTAGAGTTTATCTCACTCCTTTTGACAGAGCCACCAGCATTTATCCATGCAAATTTTCTAAGAGGATACTATGTCCTTCATGTCTGCCGACCACTTCTTTCGATTTGCGCTCCGACCCACCATTCTGCAATTATGCTCCCTCCCATACATATAAAACCACTTTAGCTTTCTTTGATGGAGTTTGCTTCCTTTCTCGTGGTTCTAAAACTCGTAATGCCGGTATCAGCTTTTTCCCACAGGCCCTTCCGACCCGTCCGTCCTGTTCAAACTACGTAACGATATAATGCCTACTGAAATCATTTAAGTGGAGATGTATTGCGAGTTAAACGGTTGGCATCGCGACAAATTTGGGGTACGGCAAGAGGTCAAAGCAGAACATTATGTATCCGCCCATTTTAATTAGGAGTGGAAAGAAATCACGGTTTTAAAATCGTGCGACTTCCAGGTAAATATGACCTTAAATAAAATATCGGGTGCTAGTCTGTTAGCTGTGGATGTGCCTGAGACGGAGTCCGCCCGCTGTTAGCCGTCTGTAATTAAAAGAAGAGTTAGTTTTATCTCGGTAGAAAAAGTTTATAAAAGGTTTCCGAAGGTCTTTGTAAATGCAATTTACCAGAGAATGTAAGTTTACTAAGGCAAAATATTAATCCTCCAAAGAAATGGAGGGAGCTCTAGAAACGCAGACATCTACTCATCCATTTTAGGTCCGTCATCAAATGAAGTTACTGGAGGATTGAGTAAATCCTCCTCTCTGGAAAATGATATAAATGCGTTTGAACCAGGACATTACCAAAATGTCTTTCACAAGTTCCCAGACAGGGACTCATAAAATTGGTAGGAAAACGATTTGTCCAAATTCTGTCTGCCTTGGAAATGATTAAAGTTTGGATGTATTGATAATAGGGAAGTTTGATTGGCTGTAGGTGAGCATAATCATGTTTAATACAGTAGTCATTAAATATATAGATTGTCAGTAATGGCAGTAAACATACAGAAGGGATTAACCTGAGTGTCACGCACCTACGATTAGGGCATTTGGGAGGCATGAAAACTGAACCCGTTGCATGAGGATACTGCTTATTACCGCGTTTGAGTGCGCTAGTTCTTCCAGCAGATGTGTACTGAAAGGATTTTTTCAACTTCACTATTCGATCTGACAAAGACGCTTTTGTAATAAGTAGATCTGCAGAACGGCCTAGTCCTGCACAAATATGACACCCATCATCCCGCATGATAGAAGGACAAACTGTTTGCCTTCTAGGAATACGTGTTTGATTTGATTTACCGGTCGAGCATGGAAATATGGACTCTTCCTGTACCACAGATGACCTAGCGATAAATTCCAGGCGGTTCCTAGATCCGCGTCATAACCCTAACCCTAGTCCTAATCTTGACGTTACCTGAACTTTTGGAGTAAAGCCACCTGCAATGGGCTGGCCGATTTGCCTTCTAAAGACTAACCACCCTATGTAGATAGGGGAACAGGAGCCGCTTATCTAGAAATGCTGAAAAGTGACCTACTGCCAGCATTAAAGAGTTTTTATATGGGCAGCAACTTTAGTTTTGACATACTAGAAAACCACCTCAGTTTTCTGGTAGACGGAAAAATTGACGAACTTTCGTAAAGTACGGTAAATAATGCAGTGCATCCCTCAAAATCACGACAGGTGCAAGTCCAACTTAGGGAGACAGGGAATGTGTGTTCTGCTATTCTAGATTTAAAGCCCAAGTGCCAAAGGTCTGCAAACAGATAGGGATGGCAGTGGTGAACATCTTGACAATATCGGATAATAAAACTCGGTGTGACCATGTATGCAATTCAAAGATATTGAGTATGTCATAATTTTCTTGAGCACTAGTAACGAAAATCGTTGGAGGCCGGTTATATCATCTAAATATTTTGTATCAACTTTTGAATATTAAATTATTCAGCTTCGCAGATAATTCATTCACCTATAAGTGCGCAGCCTTACTAATACGACAGTCATGTTTGTGGTAATTAGTATGACAGACATGATCTTAGCCCAATTTAACGCCTTCTACTGAGGCTCGTCTCATGTAAAGGAAGAAGCGCACTACGTAGTCTTTACCATTTGAACTTGAAATCTTGAAGCAGGGGACCAGCCCCATTTGCCCCATAATCTTGCGGCCCTAATCAGTGATCGGACGTCCATTCGAGCACCAGAAACGCCATATGAGTGGGGAGGACAAAGCAAAGTAGGCCAAGACAGATTTAATATAAGGGATCTGGACTCATAAAGCGTACCGAGCAGCTGGGTTGAAATTCCGGGTACAAGGACATGTGTACCGGCTACTGTTTCCATCCAGACCAAACCTAGAAAAGAGTAACACTGTGACAATTTCCCCGTTCACTTCTGCGTTATAATTTAAAAGTGAACATGAGTCGACAATATGTACCGAAACCATTTTAACTCCAAAATTTTTTTTGAAATCAGCAACTTGCAGCGTCAGGGGTTGAATGTTATCGGCAAGACAAGTGTCATAAAGAGCATTTTTGAAATGATTTTTCAGCCTCAGATGACATTAATTTCCATTAGTTAACTCACGAGACTGTTAGAAATTTTCATATCTATGAGATTCCCTAATAAGCATCAGTCCTATTGAAAAGGCAGTTCTTTTGGAAAGTACGAATTCAAGCTAACCCATATGAACTTAGCAAAATTTTATGCAATACTTTCAGCCGAAGTTTAAATAGGCTACCTGGGTAGACATGGTCTTGTGGCCGCACCTGAAGTAGCTAAACTCCGACTGCCTGTTATGCGGAAAGTCTCTTTTATCAGAATGGGCACCCTGATCAATTCATTGCCAATAACGTTGCCAAAAACCGTTAAAGCCCCCGATGCTGACGGGAGGAAATAAAAAGGTTAGAAATGGCTAAACCTCCACTGCCTGTAATACGGAAATGGTGGTAAAGGGGGTCATACGGATGGGGTAATCCGACACGTCGGGCAGACGACTGTGAAATTGCAGTAAAGTGAGCTAATGAAGTGTAAAATAAAATTCTGAATGAAGTGAAACTGAAGCGAAAATGATGAAAATACGGTAGGGATTCAACCAGTCAATCATAAGTGACAACACGTGGTCAAGGTCATTCCGCATGGTGTGCATGAAGTTAATGGCCGACCGGGAGATGGATCCAAGGACACTCCAGGGCGCGAGCAACGCAGATGATGAAACGACACAAATAAGGCAAAAGACCTAGTTGACGGGACACGCAGGACAACAACATCCCAAACCGAAGGGGCTGAGAGTTAAGCCTACAGTTAGAGTTTGCGGTAAGTTCAATCGTTTCGGTTAGAATAAGGGTTTGGATTGCAGTTTAGGCTTAGTGTAAGGGTTGGGGTTAAGATCAGGATTAGGGCTACGGCTTCGGTTAGAGTGAGGGCAACCCTAACCCCAAACCTTAAACCTGACATTAACCCTAGCACTTAAGTCCTGAAGCTAACCCTAGCTGACACTAAACCCAAACGGCAATCCAAACCCTAACTCTAACCGGAGAGATTAAACTTGACACGAACTCTAACAGTAAACTCAATTCTCAGCCTCACACTAAACCAAACCCTAAGACTAACCCTGCCTCTAAACCCTGAACACAAAGTTGCTCTTTTCCGTTTCAGCGAGGAGCAAGTGTGCTATTTCAGCACAATCTCACCTACTCAGAATTATTAAGTAGTCCAGTGGTATAAACGTCATCAGGTGCGTCCGCAAGGCCATATATTACCCGCTACCTTAATACAATTAAACTATCATTGTGTAATTATTCACCGCACTAACAACAAAGGTGCCAGCCAAAAGTTCAGACACGCGTGTTTTGCCGATCTTGTGCCGCTGCGTAACGCAGCTAAAAAGGGTTCGACTCATCAGTGGGTCTCCCGGCCTTCCCCGTGTGTTTTCTGGTATATGAACTCCTGCTTCCCCTTGCCTTGTGTTTAATTGCGCAATTCGATACTACTGGCAGCCCGTTGGCGCCTTGTGAATACTATGCGGTTATTCCGCAGTAGCTAATGGATCTCAGCCCAAATATTCATAGCAAATTTCGGATCATGCCTGCTAAGGTCTGTTCCGAAGCAGTTACTCCAAGTTTGCGCATTAATTTCCTCGGAAATCAAACAAGATAAACTATCTTCATTGAGAGCCGACAAGAGTTAGGAGGCAGTTCATGTCTGCAAATGATAAGCCAATCAGAAACTGCATGCGTTTTTCATACAACGATGGCCAGCGCCAGGAACTCTGATTTATATTTTTGACTTCCTCGCAAGTGACTCTCGATGTTGTCCGTCTCGGATTGTTTGCAAAAAAGGAGCTGGCTGAAGGTGTTTACTCAAAAGTTTTTCTATTGAAGCAATACCAAGTATTTGAATAGGAGGAGTGCCAGAGGGACATGGTGGCAGATGTTTGCGGGGGTCCATTGAAGCATTTGGACTATGTTACCACGGGAAAATAATCCAAAACCACCATTCGGATATTCGACTTACCTTACTGCTAACCAGCAGTTTGTCGTAAAATGAGTGGATCGGATAGAACGCTCTCGCAACTTTGTCATTTCCTGACTCCTTTTATTGAAAAATGTCTTTGTTTCGGAAAACTACCGTATGTACAATAGAGTCTGCTTTTATGACACTTTTGTCATAATTTTAGAATAGAGCTTAACAATGATAATAAGACATTAGCGAAACCTAAAAGGACTCTTATGTTCTATTTAAAGGAAAACTGCCAGGCTCAACATTTCCAAAAGTCTATTTGCAGCTTGGAGTTCACCCTCCTAAAAGCGTATACACACTACCAGCATTGAGTTTATGCAGCGTCAAGTAGAATTTAGGTTGGATCACTGACCAGTTCTGAACAGATCAGTTGCTTTAACGGGGGCGCGTGAATCTTCAGACCCATTTCCTTTTATACCAAAAAGCCGATATGCTTCTTCGACTCAGTGAAAGGCAGGTCTTGGAAATTGAGTAATTGTACATACTAAAAAGGATCACACTGAAACGGCTTGATTCAGGTGGTTATGTCTCTGTGCTAGGCAAAACTGAAGCAGCGACCTCTTGCAGCCATTAATTGATAAGCTAAGCGAGACCTACTAAAACAAATATAGTAGGTAATTATACATTTTAGACCTAGTGGGGTTACACAACCTATCCTAATCGGACGTGGCTTGAGAACTGGTAGGGTAATCGCAGAAACTGGTTTCAGCAACCAAGTGGTGGGTATTCCCCTGCAGCACGGATTTGAAGCAGACTGGGTAAGATTCGGTGGTTAGATTGCAGTTGGTAGCCAGGAATGGGAAGCGGACGGCGACCTAACCCTAGTTCTAACCGTAACCCTAACCTCGACAGTAAGCGTTAACCGTTAACCCTAACGGCAACCCTGGTCCTAACCCTAAGCGAAATCGTAAACGTATCTGTAGCCCTTAGGCAAACGCGTAACTGAAAAACCTAACCGCAATACTGAAACCTGATCGTACGCTCAGACCCTAACCGTAATCCGAAAACTTAAGCCTAAATGCATAATCCTAACCCGAAAATCGGAAACTATTAACCGGTACCCTTATCCTAACCTCAACCGTAAAACGGAAGCCAAATAGGTCACATGTGATTATGGAGCCCCACAAAATAGCCCCAGTAAACAAACCCCCCAGCCACCTGTAATGCGGGGCCTGGCTACCAACTACGATCTAGCCGATGTGGTTTGGTAGCCTTACCTGATGAACACAACACTTGGGGTTTAGAATAAGGGGCTATAGTTGAGGGTAAGGAGTTAGCGCAATTACTTCTCAACCATTGAAAGTAAAACCACGCACTCCCAATAGTTTTCTTTTGCAAACAACGACTTGACCTCGTCGCCCGTGCGTTCCGCGGTTCCGCCTATAAAAACCCTTATTACCACCGGTCCCCTATTAGAGGTGACTGGGGTTTGTTTACTTCAGGTGGGGCTACCAAACCACATCCGACCGCAGACTGCCGCCGAAAACCGATCCTACACGCAGCTGCTCCTTTAGTCGCCCTCGTTGGGTGGGCTATAACCAAGATTAGGCATCCCAAAAAGCTTGACTAGATCAGTGTCTATGTAAGAATGGTTGGCACGGTGATTCAGTACTATTTGCAAAAGCGGCCACCACGTAGACAGAAACGGTCTTTCAGGTTATCACACAATAGAAACCGCAAGGGAGTTTGGTGACTGCGGTTTCCTCCGGCAGCAAGGGATCGCAGTCTAGTAAAGTTAAAAGTTCTTCACACAAGCACTTCAAATGCTATGGCCGCAACATAGCCGGCTAAGGCTTAGGCACCTACAACCCCCAGCAACTCGACCTACGTGGACCGAGCGCACTCACCACTGATTGGACCATGGCAAAATGTGGATCGCTAGCCAACCATGCGGACTGCATCTGTTGCACAGGATCCGCCCAACAGTGATGCTTCATTATAAGTAACAAACTTAGTGATTTAGCTAGATTTGAAAACGTCGGCCATTGAGTGTACGACGGTTTAGTTTAACGCAGTGCCTTACTACGCACCTTTTAGGCAAAACCAAGCCACTAAGTCAAGTTGACGCAGATGTGTCAGAAACGTACAAAAATTGTGAAAAGTGGTCTGTCACTGTTATTTGAAAAGGGCAATCTTTAAGAGCACTAAAATAGGGCTAACAAATGCTCAGTCAGAGTGAACTTGCGTCAGAAAACACGTGAAAGTGAGAAAGATCTGAAGTGAACAGAGGCGCTGGAGGTAGTCGGGCATGGCTAGAAATGTGCAAACCGACAAGGCACACGAGCAAGTATTTGGGGAATTAAAAAAGAAGTTGTATTGAGCCAAAGGAGGGAAATGTCGAATCAGACGGGGCGGACGAACTCAGGGAAGGTCCTCGTAAGATATAAGTTGTCGCTTGAAGTTGAGTAGGTATGGAAGATGGAGACGGAAGCTGTGGCTAGTATCTAAAATAGAAGAGACGGCAAAGGTGAGTTACCTTGAAGCCTGCAACAGAGGGATGCCAGACCACTTCAAACTAAAGTGAAATTTAAAGATTATCAGGCATACTTATGCAGAGGTCGGGATGGCATAACGAGATCATTAGTTCACAGAGAGGAAAGTTCCTCGAACCTAACTACGCTAAATACTCTTCCAGGCAAAAGAAGAGGAGAAAGAGCTCTTTGGATTAGAAATCCTCGTTGTCATCACTAATCTTAAAATCCATTGAAAAGTCTCCGTTACTGGGAATGCGAAATAAATAGGGTATATGCGGGAAGAGTATTGAAAACAATCCAAGAAATCGTTGCTTTTTAATTTCCTCAGAAATTAACTGCTAATTTGGAGTAAATCAGTTTTATAATAGGGTCTATAGGCGCAGACCGAAATTTGATGCATGAATAGTTGGGTCGAAGTCTATCAGCCACAGCGGTCTGCGCCTACAGGCATCAGTATAAACTGATCTACTCCGAGTTAGCAGTTAATTTCTGAGGGGATTAAAAAGCAACAATTTTCAAACTGGAGTATTTATCAGAAAGTACACGGGAAGGCTGGGAGACGCACAGACGAGCTGAACCCCTCGCAGCTATGCCATGCAGTGGTAGAATATCGACGAAACACGCGTGCCTGGGCTTTTAGCTATTACCTGTGCTGCTACTATAGTATCTCGTTACACTAAACATCCAATAAATGCATGACAAAACCCTGGCAAAATTGCAAGGCGCGTCGGTGGAGCGGCTTATAAGAATACCGAACCAATAGAAACGAACAGGCGATTTCCAAGAGGCAGTTCAGAAGACGAAGATGCGATCAATAATCGCATCTTCGTCTTCCGAATACCTAACCAATCGTGTACGTAGGAGGCGACTGGCATTGGATATAACCGTACGAGCACCAATAAGACCGTTAGACAAACCACAAAAATCGTGTGCATTTTTTGCTACTTACTTTATAGTGGTAGCGAAAGATGGTTCATTTCAGTGACACCATAGGTAAAAACGCACACGCAGTGGTCAAGCTAGGGGTAAGGTTGGGGTCATGTAAACCTAACTCCAACCCTAACTAAAGCTAATGACCCTGTTGACGATCATCTTGGTGGTTTCCAGGACTCTTCGTATATATTATTATTCCTCAACGAATTAAGTAGAACGGAACTGACAAAAAGGCGTTTCTACTTTTGTTAGACTTTCGCAGGCAATGGAAAAATTTATTTTCTTCTAGTCACGGCACTGTCCAAACCTCCTAAAACAGCTTTCAACCACTTTTTCCCACAAGATGTTTGTATAAAACCCTCGATTCGTTCATTGGGAAGCGCTCGTGTCCCCTAAGCCATCTCCCTCCCCAAAGTATGGGACCGTTAACCACTTGTCCCTAGTTGTTTTTAACATAAACTGAGGTCAAAAAATTATCGCAGTTCAATCCGAAACTGAACTTTAGACAGTCCTCTGTGTTTTACCAGACGCTTTCTGTCAACCACATTCTAGCAGTTATCCCTACCTTCAAATGTTTGTTTGGGACTACAGGAGACCCAGAAAAACTGGATCTGCACGGTGGCCTAGCTTCGGCCTTCAGCGATGAACGACTACGAAAGGAGCAGTCTCTTGCGTACAGCGAAAAACTATTCGCGGGTCACGCGACAGCAATACCTTCAGGAGTACTTGGGTAACAGTTTCTTACTTGTACTTGGTGCGGCGATGATCACGTCTGATCTAGCCGGCCTCGACTATGTCACGGGTCGTACCTCTTCACGCGTGACGATGTGCGGCAACGGATCTGGACAGCTCAACACATTCTCTTCTCCAGCGAAAGAGACCGAGTACCAAAGACTCAAAAACCACTTCCATTCCTTAACAAACTGTGTCGAGACAGGTCTTGAGTTTACCTCCTCTTCAACGCGCCTAAGTGGGCAACGGCGTCGGATCAGGGGCGGCATGACTGAGCTCGTGAGGCGGACGGCGAAGATAGTGCCTAAACCACCTCAGTCATCGGAATGAAGGCAGACTGCCTCATTTGAGATGAAGTCGGTGTACTCCACTTAAAGGATGGCTTCCAGGCAGTGGTGGTCAAATGCTTCCCGTCCCCACATATTTTCCACGCGTACAGCCCAACATTCACAACTGTTGGGCTGGATTAACCGGACGGATACACCAGTGACCTTGGTCGAGTTTTCAGCGGTAGAGCTGCTATTCACGACCTCTCCTTCAGAAGGGGGTCGCATGGCACTGCATAGGTTGGAGAGGGAAGAAACTCAGTTGCAGAGGAGAACAAGGGCGAGTTGGGTTGGGTATCAAAGTTGAGATGGTGCCCGAAGTGCTCACGCTAGCGTTCGACTTTGGCCGAGTTGTCAGCAATAAAGCCGCAATTCACATCGCGAACAGAGTCACTTAGTGTAGAGGGCCTACCACTAACTTGGCGGACAAGTTGGTAGAGTTTTCGAGTGTCACCGACGTTCGAGGCCTGTTCCATGGAGGTCGCTATTTCAGCCCAATACTGCTTCCGATCATCCCTGGCCGACTTTGTCGTCAGTTTTCGAAGTTGGCGGAAAAAATCATCATTACAGGACCTGGCTCGGGCCGTCTAAGCAGACAACTGTAGGGCTCATCCGTCAATCCAGTCACTGAGGAGCCCTTGTGTGAATTCAAGAATTTTGTCCGCTGCCCCATAGACTGATGGCTTCAATAATGACTATTGGCCACTGCGTTCACCATCGGCTGGCGTCGTAAAACAGGACCATATTTCTCTGCCTAGGGTCTCCGCGGTGCTGGGTTTACGAAGTCTTGCGACATCAAGGCTTCCTGTATGTGGCAGTTTCGGAGCGAATGAGAGGTGAACTTGCAGACGTATGCGAACGAAAGCATGGTCAGACCCATAGGCGTTACCAGTTTCGGCACCAAGCATAGATATGCCATCGCAAACTCGGCTAGGGAACCTTTAACTGACTAGAATGTAATCGATCCGACTGATCGCATGACCGTAGTTTAAATACCAGGTTAGCAGATACGTGGGGTGATGTTGGAAGCACGTGCCGGTGACAGACAGTCGGTTCTGATCGGTAAAATTCAACATTCCCTCACCGGCGTCGCATCGAGAGCCAAGCACAAGACGGCAAATAAGGTGACTGTTTGAGGAGTTGCTGGGTACCCTCAGGCCATTTTATTCCCCGATAACAGTTAGCAGATCACGGTGAAAAAGTCTTTCAACTAACTCCTCCAGCTGCAAGTACAGTAAGTAGGCTAACTCATGAGATCTCAACATAAATTCCGAAATGTGTTTCCTTTTCGAAAAGATTAAGTAAATACGGTTGTAAAAACAATCATTGTGCAGCATAATTCTATAATAAATCAGTTACCCCAGGACGCCGGCTTTCGAACGAACTTCTTTCCGGCTGCATGCAAAAACCATACTTCGTAAAAAATGACCACTTAAGTAGCATGCATCTTTTTTATCGATTTTCGATGCCCTTAAAGATGCACTTATATTTCATGGAAAACGCACAAAACTATTCATTCTTTTGCTCAATCGGTAGAAAATGACGTCTTCTTCCAATTTTATACTCGATGGAAGGGTATAATTCGGTTTTTAAAAGGTTTCCAGTTGTGAGATTTTGTAATGCCATGAGATGGCCGTTCATAAAACGTCATGTTTCTGTATTTTCATGTCTCTGCACTTATAATAAAGTTAACAATATGGCTCAAATCCACTGCTGCATTTTATGAACCCCATGTAGTCTCCTCTTAATACGGTAGAGAAATGTATGGTTTTCCGTAAGCGAAAATTATACAGCTTGTAGTTTGGGAACGTTGAATGCAAGTGTAACGGCAGGCCGGGTTCAAAATTATTCGGGAATTGGAAGAGTTTCATCAAACCGAATTAAACACTCCCTTCGAGTATAAAATTGAAAGAAGACGTAATTTTCTACTGAATGAGCAAAAGAATGAATATTTTTGTGCATGTTTTCTACGAAATATATTTGCATCTCCAAGGGCATCGAAAATCAATGAAAAAAGTGCATGCTACTTAAGTGGTCATTTTTTTACGGAGTATGGTTTTTGGCTGCAGCCTGAAAGAAGTTTGTTCAAAAGCCGACGCTCTCGGATAACAGATTTATTATAGAATTAAACTGCACAATGGGTGGTTTTACAACCGTATTTAATTAATCTTTTCGAAAAGGAAACGCATTTCGGAATTTATGTTGAGATTTCATGAGTTAGCCCACTTACTGTAGGTCTCTGTCGCGGTCTTCAGTAGCTGATGTTGGTGTTTGTAAAGTGACATTATCTGGTGGAAAATGAAATGGGTCATATCAACAGATAAAAGGTCAGTCGGTGGATACACTGATAGGCGGCCTGGGGAAGCCGCGAAGAGACGGGAGCCCTGACAGTTGGCCCCTGGCTGCTGGCCACCTCGCGAGTCCATATGCGGCGGAAAATGAAGGGTCAGCTGTGAAATAAGTTGACTTGCCTCCGGAAAATAGGTTACAATGGACTAGCAGACACAGTGTTTGCAGCAGGCGAAGGTTGAAATTTTTGGCAGATCGGCTGTCGTATAAAGTGCTGCCAATGCCTACGAAGGCGCCGTGACATGGCGGGCAGGAACTGCGGTCAAATAAGTCCTTGGCGGTATTACAGTGATGTGAGTTAGACATTGAGGCAAAGGCTGGATTTAGGGCTAGGAAAATTAACTAGTATCGAACCCGTAACTGTCTCGAAACAGGCCGAGAAAGAAACATCCGGTGGTTGTAAAGACAATGGAACATACAATAGAAGTCTTCTCACAAACTACACAACGCCGTGGAGGCCCACGTAGGATTAAAAGAAAAGACGGTGTATAGGAAGTACGTTGTACAACTAACCGCTTGCCGCCAGACTGATGGAGCACCATGTTTGCAGTTGCCGAGACATGTCGGTAACACTCAGCGAGTGGCCGTCGATCCCGCGAAGCAGGCAGAGCTGTAGGGAAAATTCATGACAGGATAATATATTTTTGAAATACATAAACAATGTGAAAACCTCATCTGCCCTGTTTGTTTCATCCGACAACGGCTGGTGGTTACGGCGGTATTGTTGGTGACGCAAATCATGAAATATGCAAAAGTTCACGAAAAATGTCTCATCAATCGGAAACCAATCCTAATGCACCAAAAAATATCCAAATACTAATGAACGACCCTTAGTTGAGGGGAAAAACAAAGGAAATATTAAAGTTAACATTACGCTGGTTAGGAATAGCAGTCTTCGTTAAGAAGTGAAAATGCCGAAAGCCTGGGAATTCGTGTCAAATGAGAAAACCTTATCAGCAGAAGTTAGTGACGCAGACCCATGCAAGCAACTAAGTTTCTAAGATAGCATAAACGTGTCAGCGTCTAAGGAAACCATTTTAGATAATTTTCGGATAGATGGCCTCCAAAAACTAGTTAAATGTGCTGTATTCCGGCTAGTCAACTGCTTGACGTCTGACCATGCGCTGCAAAATGATGTTACAAGACTCCGATGTAATTCGTTGTTATTGCATTGATAAAGATGCAGATGAGTAAGACAATGGTAGCCTCGTTCGGTTTAGTGGGTAGGAAGGTCGCAGGAATAAAAAGGTTCTATGAGGATACGCGTAGAAAAGTTCGACAATGGCCAAGGAAATGAAATTTGACTAAGAAAATCACTCATAGACAAACTACTGTCTGTGCATTAGGATAATTTTTCTGTAAAATTACTATGCGCCTTTCGGGGACGGTGGGACCTACTGATTTTCAGGGAGTCCTTGAACTGCCAGCGAATACTTCGAGCTTTGCCGTGCTATCAATCGATTTCCAAAAGGGTTAATTCTCCTGTTGGCGTTTACCAAAACATTCAAAATAAGATGGTTCTTGAAAATCTTTGCCGAATAAATGGGCTACTGAACGTTTTTTTTAGGTAAATGGTGAAACCTAATATATGCGGAATAAGTGCTATCAACGAAAAAGACTCAGATTGCCATTTCCAGCTTATTTGCCGTCAGTCAGCCGTGTCAGTACTTCAGGTTCAAATAACTCGGGGACACTCTGGTCATTGTGTCTTAAGACCAACATCCTACCGGCAAACTACGGCTTGTTGTTCCATTGTTCATCAATCCGCTGGCAATACGGAACATGTCTATGCCGTTGTAAGTTGGAGTCCAGTCGAAGGCCCCAGGCAGTCGCACAAATATGTAGTTACAAAAACTACCTTTAGATTAATCTCGTGCTAAGATGACCGCCAGGTCATTGAATGCCGCGGGTTGCGGCAGAGACCTCATTTCTGGCAGTGGTAGTTAATATTTCTTTACTGTCAGGATAATACAGTCGCGGTTCCGAAGTCAAGTTTCTTCTTATTAGCTGCCTCGGAAACGAAGATGTCCACCACCACCGTCCAGAGAAGGTATTTGTGGTTTATGAGTGAAATTTTTCACAGTGAAGCAAACTTGTACAGGGTCTACCTCACTCTCTTCTATTGTGCCCACGGTGTTCTAGTGGCAAGACGGCTGAGAATGGGTGTGGGCGTGATGACTGGCTGAGAAAACTAAACAGGCCATCTACGCGTGCCATACAGGACCCAATTCCTGGCCCCACAAGGAGAGAAGAAATGAGCAGAGGTCACGCAAATGAGAGTGTCACGAAGGCCATAGTAAAAAGGCGGCATTGAAGTCTGACTCTGAGTGCGAAGGAGGATCGAGAAATTATCTCGGCTGCTGGGGACCTTCCAGGACACGAGATCTAGGGCGCTGTGATAAGTTAAAAAGGCACTAGGCTAATGGTGGCAAGGAATGCGTTGAAAAGAGTACCGCAGGATCACATTGGCCCGATCTTCCCCTCTCCCACACATAATTGGCCCGCCTGTGCCTGTAGGTTGGCTGGTGATGAGCAGTGATCGACGTGGTGTCAAGTCTCCGCAAAAAATGGTGGTCCGTAGTGACCGATGATTTTAAGTTAGGTATTAACCCAAGGTGATTCTCTGCCGTTCTGTGAATTCAGATATTCCTTCAGCAGGCCTGACATGACAATTGCGTAAAGACGACCGGTGAGTGCCCTTGTAGCATGTATATATGCATATAAAGCATATTTGCAGAGAAATTGGATTTACGCGTACGTGGAAGACACGCGGAGGGCGAATGTTACCCACCGTCGTGCTGACTCAAGCGCTTCGCGCCCGAAAATATTGCTGATATTGCTCCCTCCGCGTGTCCTCCACGTACGCGCAAATCCAATTCCTCCACAGATGTGGTTTATATGTATGTATACATGCTAGAGGGGCGCTCACTGATGGTCCTTACGGAACTCACTCGTTTCATTGTGCCTTACGGGCTCCCTCTCGAGCCCAACCAGTAGCCGCACAGCGGCGCGTGATATAGGCAGAATGATATTATCGACAAAGAAAAAGGAGACTGGAATGGCCATTTCTGGCTTATATATAAATGTACGGTATATACATCTATATAGTTGGGTATTAGAGGTGTAACGAGAAATAATAGCATCCTTTATCCAGATAAAACAGAAGTGGTTAAGACGCAGTGGAAGTACCTCTACGAGCTCCCGGTCGGGGATGAGTACGTCGCGATTCAGCTCGGTGGCAAGGTGCCTATCCTCAGCAAATACGTACTGCGCGAGTCGCTGCAGTTGCTGTCGACGGCGGCTGATGTTTGCTGGGGAGCGGAGGAAATCAGCAAATGGCCGACGATAGACTGCAGAGTTAGGTAGGGGTTTGCGATATCTGACTAGGCCATGCAGGCCACAAAGAAAGGTCTGAAAAGGATGAAAACGCACACGACAAATGATATGAGAAAAACATAAGGATTCAACTTCGCGGTAAAAGGGGTGCCATCTGGCTAAGTTTGGCAGTTTTACCATGTAAGTTTTAGAGACATACAGCAGATAGAAGTACTAATACGTGCTTCAACATAACTACTTTTCCCAGTGTCTTAAAACGGGAAGGTCTGTACTGACAACATCTTAGCAGTAACGGTCATCCTTACGAAAGACGAAACGCATTCAGTTGGTAAACCGAAACGGATACTCACGAAGACTGCGCGAAGCCCCTGTATCTCAAAGGTAGCAGTATTGTGACAGTATGTGAAGGTTCTCTGAGGAAGACAGTGGATACTGAAGGGTCTTGCAACAGGAAGGTCAATCGACGGCCGTCAGCAATCACTGGGTAGCCGGTCCACAGTTTATTCGCTGTGGAAGGAAGCATTCGCACTAACCCCGACACTAGCGGCGTGGAGCTTAGCGTCCGCTGCACTTTACTTCAAACGATTTTAAATAATCATCAGTGAGAACTCAAAACGTCTTCTGAGAACCTATCTTTTGTAACTTTGATGGTTGAACAGAGTCAATTTTTGCATATTTAAGAAGCCCAAAAGGCTTCTATAAACCGCCGCGGTGTGTGAAGGACATCTCGGCATAGTGGCGATTAACGTAGGCCCTCCCAAATAGCCCATAAAATTTACCTAGTAATAGGCATAGGCATTCTCCGTTGTTCGCGATGAAGTAGAATACTGCTGATTAAATGAGAAATGACGTGACAGAAGAAACGTTAGCTCAATATACGCTGGAGTCTTTGATCGCGGTCATCCTACCACCTATCGAATATGTAAGTTGAATGCCCGCCCCACTATGCCCTTGAACCGTTATAATACTTCCCGCAGTGAAGCGTCGGGGCAGTTGTGCCAAAACGTTCGTTACAACGTAATTCCGCATACATTCATTCCGCACAGAAAAGTCCGTCTCTCACCAACATGTTATTGGTTCAGTTGTGGGGAATAGCACGAAAAAGAGATAGACGTCTACTTGCGGAATGTTTGGAAGGTTTTGTCATCTACCTCATGACATAAAAAAATAACACAAAACAAATACTTCGTGAAACGTGTCATTTATAGCCTGAAAAAGATAAGCTATGTTGTGCGGATAAGTCGTCATAAGGTCTTAGATACTGTCCACCTATGGGTTAGGTGCGATCATTGCAGTCGGTCAGATCAGTTGTAAGGAGAAACGTGCAAATAAAGGGGGGTTTTCAACTAAAGTGTGCAGAGGAGCGGGGAGAAAATTCTGCGGGGGAGGGCATTTGCCGTAACGGGCTGCCAAAGGGGCAAAGAATCAGGCACTCGTGGCATCGATTTCAGGAGTCAGTCATCTTATAAGGGTAGAGGGAGTGTAAATTTGCCCAGGAGATGGGATGTACCTATTTGTGAACACATCTAGATAGGCGTTGCAAATCTACTAAAAAAAGGTAATCCCGCAAGTCTCAAATAAACGACTTGAACTTATACCAGACAGTGATAAAAGACGTCAGTAAACAGACCAGCCCGGTAGGTGGACGATCTCACCCGCCGGTGAAGATCTTAAAACACCACTCCGGAAAAATAAACTTTCGGGTTTTCAGACAGGTTCCGCATCCACCTGTCGAAGCAAGTAATTTTTAGGCCAATGGAAAGTTCATTTAGCCCACAGCCTAGATTTTGCGCCGTCATATTTCTACACCGTTCAGTTCGCTACATACACTTACCACCATTTTGCCGATAGAAACGACCAACTACAAGAATCACAATTCTGTGGCTAAGACATTTAGCTGGTGCGCCTTTGTCTAAAATCCCTGCGTCATCATTAGTAAATCTTCGACGTGACCCTCCATTATAGGTTACCTGGTGGCGTTATCGTCTGAGTCACAAAACTCGATCCCTGGGACATTAAATAGGTCTGACCCTGTTCTACAAAATCATGAACATTATTCAGTTTGTGCGGCGGAAATTACTCTTCCTTCTTTCTAAACAAGAGGACATGATGATCGGTTAACCCATCTGCTCGTGGATACCATGATTCCCTTGGTCGACTTTGCAGTATACAGAGCCAAAGGCGCGTGCGCTCGTCTGTGCATACCGGAGTCATGATACTTGTACTTGATACGGCTGCGATCATGCCTGAGCTAGCCGGCCTCGATGATGTCACGAACTGCACCTCTCTACGCGTGACGATGCGCGGTAGCAGATCTGGACAGCTCAACCCATTCCCTTCGCTAACGATGTAGACCGAATACCGAAGGTCCAAGAACCACCTCCATGTCTTGACGAACTGTGTCGAGCCAGGTTTTGAACTGACTCCCTCTTCGACGCCTCCAATGGGGCGACGGTGCCGGATCGAGGGCAGTAACACTGAGCTCCTGAGGTGGACATCGAAGAACATGCCCGAAACACCTCAGTCGTCTTTCTTCGATGGCCTGAGTTCTCCTTGCGATGTTGTCGCAGCGAGCGCGGACTGTCTCATTTGAGACGGAGTCGATTAACTTCACTCGAAGGATGGTCGTCAGGCAGTGGTGGTCAAATACCTCCAGTTTTCGCTCATCCTCCACGCGGAAAGCCCAGCATTCACAACCGCAGAGAAGGACAGACCGGACAAATGTACGGTACACGCGAATCCTAGCGGCGATGGAGAGGTCACGTCGGATCCATTGGCATTTCCGAAGGCTTGAGAAAACCCAGCGGGAAGCATCGATTCGGGGGACAATGTAGCCCTTACTCTGTCCATTAGGCAGCAGCCTCGCCCCGGGGTAGTTAAAACTGTCTATTTCTTCAAGTTGACAGCCGTCAATCCCGAGGAGTGCCTTCTCGCGTAGGGCCCTCCCGAGGATGCAGCCAGTCAAATTGAACATAAACATATGCTCCTTTGTGTAGTTCTACCGAAAATTTCCTTTTCTCCCAGTAGCTAAACATAGCAAAATAGAATCCTACACCCAAACCGGCCAATGGGGTAGGCCCTTCCTAAAGACCTAAGGGATGCCAAATAATTCAAGGCAAACGAAGAGATAGGAACATACAATGTGGTGGTGATCAAGAGCGTCCAGGTTGAGAGGTCCATCAAAGACGGGAATCAAACGTTTAACGTCCTCAAAAGAGGGAGTCTTGGAGTGAGAAATCTAAAAGTGACCAGAAGTAAGTTATATAATAAAGGGGTCGAGGCTAATGCAGTATGTCCACTTAACTCTCACTAGCAGTGCGCAAAAGAAACCAAGTGAAAAGTGGTTTATAGAATCCTGGAATAATGACTAAGACCTTCATATACCAGGCCTGCACCATCTTATCCACTATTAAACTATATGAATAACCCTCGAAGCAGGTACATTAACTATGCAGGCCCGATCTATCTAATGTGGGTGAATAAAACCAGCTTTCAAGCAGAGCTCGGGTGTGCGAATCGACAAAACAGAAGGGAAAGGACGTGTGCCACTTCCGAATAGACCATATCAGCGAAAAAATCGCGAAAAATTGGCTAATTGCCACTGCTCAGGGAGTCAGCAGGGGAAGTGCATTTGCATGCAGACGCGAAGGTGAAATTTTGGTAAACAATCAAAACCCGAGTCAGTATCAAAGGTTGAGAGGCGGACGGAGCATGGGATACCAGGTCGAGGTTCTTGCACAGAAGGCGGTGCTCCTCTGAAAACTGCTCCTCTTTAGAGGAGGTTGGGTCGGAAACGTGGTCCTGGAGGACATCGGATCTATACACCTGGGAGGGGGCGGAAGAGGAAGGCGAGGATGGAGCGGAGACGAGGAGAGTGAGCTGACGTGTGAGGTCCGCGTGCGGACCGAGGAGACGAAGACGCAGTTGCAGTACATCGAAGTGGCGTCTCTCCGCCTCGGTCCAGAAGTTTCGAGTGAGCAGCAGACGTGGAAAGGCCAAACTAAAGTCGAAAACGAAATAACAAGAGCTTAGGGTTTTCCCCTCTGTCTCAGTAGCCGCCCGCTGTTAACAATGCGAGAAGGGTAATGTTGTTAACAATATCAAAGGAAGTAAAACCTAACTTCTTCTAAAAGCCCAGAGGCGGCAGAATGATAAAGCCACGATGAAAAACTAGGTATGCGGTAGTTCCTCTAAGCCAGGACAAAAACAATTCTTTAAACCGAGGAGTGGTATTTAGTTACGTTTTTACGTGTACTAGACACTGGTTCAGTCTAAATAGGGCGTCCTTCAGAGTTTAGAAAGAATCGGGTCCCCAACAAACGATCTGGATTGTCTGCTTCAGGAAGTCTCCTCCAGCGCTTTGGTTTATTGAAATCTAAAAGTACGACAGTGGTCATAGGAAGACCTGTTTACTGGAAGTTCACAGCCTCTATGTCCCAGTCTTGTCATCACACTTTCCGGTACTTCATGAGGTAGGTAGAAAGCCATACATCGGCCTTCGTAACTGCTTATTGCACAGACGCGAGTCTGCATAGTTCGTAGTTGCCCTTCGCTGGGGACCGTTCCGTTGTCCGTCACTCGTAGTCGCACCGGGCAGTCAAGAGTCGGACTAACAGGTAGACTCGTCCTCACGTAATCGGGGCATTCAATAACTGTCTAGTCAGTTAAATCTCATTAACGGTTGCGTGAACCCCAAAAAAAGAAATAAAACCACAAGGCAAACGGTGAAAGTTAGATTCTGAAGCAAGAGGGTGTTCACTAGGAGTTGACTTTGCGAGCCCTGTATACAGCTTGCGCAATGAGGAGGGCGGGTCGCCAGCGCCAGTTATAGGTGAATCATGCGCCCGCATTTGGCTGTATTCGGTTTCACTCCATTTTCGAGCAGGTAACACACACCTTTGCGTACCCCTTGGCGAACTGCCCGATTTTCGTTCAAGGCTTTTTTCATTGCAATACCTATGACCCATAATTTTCTGCAGGGAGGACGGTTGGTCTATGCGACACTAATGAGTGAAGTTCGGGTTAGGTTACGGCGATGGTTAGCATTAGGAATGGTGATTAAGGGCAGGGTTAGTAGCAGTATTATGACTGGTAATGAATTGAACTTAGAGTCAATTAATCCCTAGTCCTAACGCCAGCCATAGCTTTACAACTAGCCGTAATTGGCTAACCCTAGCCGTAAACCGAGCCCTAATCCTAAGCACGACACTTAATCTAACCCTAGTTTGTACATTTTATAATGATCAAGACTCGAACACTGATGCTAGCCCTAACCATACTTTTAGACTTACCTATGATCCTAACACTAGCTGTAAACCTAATCCTAACGCCAAACTCATCCTTTAGTCTAAACTAGACCGGACTGTAGGATGGGCGTTCACTGATCCGGTTACGGGGCATGCTCGGCCCGTTGCGCCTCGAGTCTCAATCTCAAGAGGTTGTAGGCAGTCGCGAAGCAACCAGTAATGATACAGGAAAGAATACCGACGAAGACAAGGGAGGCTGGATGGCCATTTCAGGTTTATTAGTCGTCGTCAGCCAGTCATACCCAACCCCAGGTTTTTGTGCCTAGGATTCGAATGCAGATTCTCTGGCCATTAAGCGTTCTCAAGTTCAGCGCTCTGCTATCGCATCACAGGTCAGTTGTCCTGTCAGTCACGATCGGGAATATTAAATATCGTGGAAAGAGCGTTCACCAAGCAGGTTACGGAACATGTATGTCCCCACTAGGATTGGACACTGCTATAGCGGTCTACTTTTACTACCAGTTCTTGATAGAGAGCAATCAGGCTGTAAAAAAAATATTCGGCATAGTCCGCTAACTGAGAAAGTAACTTACAAGAGGGGAAGGATTGCAATTGTGGCTGGCAGAGCGACGGCTACTAAGAGGGGAGTCAGTCTGACCATATCACGAGGAACCTAGGGGTTAATACAGTCAGGGCAAGGGATGAATAACAGGCCTGAATCAAATAACGCTGCATTCGGAATCAAAGTGCATTCTCAGCGGCTTTCACACGCCGATTTCCCAAAAGTGCATCTTCGCTTAACGCGGCTCTGCGTAAAAGGACGTTGAACAAAGATCTCACGGAGCATATAAGCATACGCAACACCCTTGTACAAAAATGATTAGGTCGGCCACGGTCGTTTTGTGGTGGTGAAAGCCTAGGTAACTTTTTGCTTCAATTCTTATCGCCACCCTATTCATTTTGCGAGAAATGAAACCCAGTGGTTACTACAATTCTTCGGAGCGGAAAGCCGTCTAAACAAAGGAGTTCTCTCCTTTAAAACAGGACGGGGTTGTGTCGCATGCGAGTGACGTTCATCCACCTGTCCTTATTACAGACGGTATACTGACGCTCCATTCTGTATAGAGGCTCTAGTTCAGTGACCTTAGGGTAGTTAAATGGTAATGACCAAACATGAAGGCATAATTAAAAAGAGTAGGCTTGTAGCCCATTTGGTCGCCTTAAAATAGCAGGTTTCTACGGTTATGGGGTTGAAAATGACTGACTGGAGACAACGAAGAGATAAATAATAATCATTTTGATCTTAATCTCCATTGTTGACAAAAACTGGGGCGAACAAACCACACAGAGGAGCTGTACACTAATCAATCCTCGATCGCGTGGGATGCGTCCCAGAACCCCGCGAAAAGTGAAGATATGTGAAGCAAAAACCATACGTTTTATAGTTATTTTTATTTATTCTATGCCCCTATAAACACTCCCACGTTCTCAGAAACATTTCTCACATAGTTCTACAGGATAATCCCTTTTTATTTTCTTAGATATTAGTTATGATTTGTTGAAAACACGCCGTTTGTATACTACGCACAAATATACGTATCATGTGTCACTGTGGAGATTCATTTAGTACAACAGCTTTTTCACATTCACTTCCGACTCGTTCTGAGACCTGGTTAAAGGACACTGCGACCGTTGATCTTTTATTCTTTTCTTCCTTCTTCATATAACGAACTGTGAACTCGTCGAAGTGGTAATGGCGTTCTACAGTGACGTATCTGTTTCCTTCCTTTAATACACCCAATGTTTTACTCTTTCGGTGATCGTTAGCATCTTCTGTTGACACTTGGGCATGGCTCCGATAGCAGTGGAAGGAGCGAATCGTTTTGGAGGTATAGTGAAGGACTTTAATATGCATAAAAGATAACACTTTACACAGAGAAGCACGTTATTACTGAAGGAGCGAGAGATGCTGGCCAATGCAAAACCGAATTTAATGCTGCTTTCCTTAGCTGAGCCAATCAGCATCCAAGATACTTTACCGCGTGCTCTGATCGAGTAGCTCCTCGGCCATCCACCCATAGCATTCCGTATATGAAATCAACTAAGCAAACCAACTGAGGAAACATACACCAGTGATAATAAGGCCCCTTGTCCGCAGAAATCAGCGAACCGGCGAAAAATCCGCGATAGTGTGAGGCGGCAAATAACGTAGCGCGATATAGCGCGGAATACTGTACATTTAATTGCCGTCCGATACAGTGTCAATGCTACTTTATTATATTTCAATCATTGATAAGCCATGCACTGCCGTGGCGATGTAGGACAGGATAAAAACTCAGACTCATAAAAAATTTACTAAACTTTAGTTGCGACACCGGAAAAAGAATTCTTCCTCCAACAAATGTCAGTGTTAATCCTACATGTGCCTGTCATAAGTCGAAATCTTGTACGGAAGGGTCCTTCGCAAAATTCTCTCAAAGTCGTCGCCATCTTGGCAGAGAGCACCGAAACCGCAAAAGGAAACATCAAATAAGGTTTGATAATAAAAGGATTTGTACTGGGTTGTCCTTAATTCGAATATAATCTGGTTGATTTTAAGCGGCCCCGAGGGCAGGAGACGTAGGCTAAACTCACACAGAGGAAGTATACCAAATGAATGGAGGCAAGCAATCGAGAGTTAGGGTGAACGGAAAAAATTCGATCGTTCAATAGGCGCATGCATGGAATGACAAATAGTGTGACGCTAAACAAAGCCACTCTGAAAGCCATGCGCCAACAAAAGTTTGAACTGTCTAAAATATCGCCGTTGCGAAAATGGCGAGGCAGATTAACTAACCGTTCGTAATAACCGAATTTCATTTCGGCTAAGGCCGCTGAAATCCGAGGATACGTCCGTGCCGAAGCGTTTGTAGGATAAACGGAGAAACTGAGAAAAGTCCGTAAAAGTGACGCCGACACCTGTCGAGAGGGGAGGAAAAACAGCTGGTGTCATCGTCGATGGCAACTTTCCGTAGGCCATGGCAACCGCACTATTAGTACTGGTCCACAACAAACGCACAAGCATGTTTTCGTTTACCACAGGATGGTGCGTATGCAGTTTTACTATTTAAAAATAACATTTTAGCTTTCTAACTTCTTACATATTTTTCCCCCCACAGTACTGAAAAGGGGACTTTTATATTTATGAGAAAAATGATGTACGTGCAGGTTCTGTTTAGGGCACTTTCCATGACAGGGCTTAACATGCTCGATTCCAGTGTGTGAATTAACCTTCCAATGCCGTTCCTAATCCTGGCTTATTGACGCACATGAGATCAACCGAAGCAAAAAGGTGGGTGCCGTCAAATCGAATGAGCGCAGAGGTCATATGAAGTCCGAATTTTTCACGAAATTGTTGGTTCTTAGAAAATCGGCCTTGGAGGCTGTATTGCGCTCTTGGTCGCAAGAGCGGCTGAGGGAAGCACAAAATTCTCCAGCAGTGTTCGATATCGGTGGTCGACTATGGCAATTGCATTGACACCGTTCGAAAAAACCAAGATTTAGGCTAGTTGCCCCTTTGAATATCACACAGCACCAGACCATGATCTTGATAGAGAGCAATCCATGCTGATGGATGACACTCGGATTCTCGGCGCTCCGGAACCTAATATTCTGCCTACTCACAGAGCCGTTCAGATGAAAATGGGCTCCATCTCCTACGAAATGGGAGGAAAGCAAGTATACTCCTACGTTAAAAAACAGCACGATAACTTTCGAGAATTCAATGCTTTTGATACTTTGCTCCGTTATGATTTTCCCCATAACAAATTTCCATTGGACGGGCTTCTAAGATTTGGGACAAAAATTGAAAAGAATTAGTGGCGTAAAGGTTGCCAAACTTTTAAATGGTAAAGTGACTTGTGGAACACACCAAGTTTCCGTTTTCGTGATTAGGGTCTTCAGAGAATACGAGCCTTTTCAACACTTCTCCAGTTGTAGTTCGATCGAACTCTATTGTCCAGAATCAGCCTAATAGTGTTAATGGACATTTTCCTGCTAAGCATGCTTCTTTCACTCTGTGTCAGATAGATGTTAACAATTCTAATATTGAGTTTTTTCAAAAAAACTCTATCTGGCCCTGCTTAGAATCAAATAATAAACTTGTTGATTGCGATTAACAGTGTTTCACGGACTTGCTTGCCAGAAACCTACGGTATCTGACCCATCTCATTAAATACTAAACGGAATTCTGAAATATCTCTTCGATTAGAAAGGATTACTTGGGTGGAGTTGTAATACTGATAGTCGCGCAGAGATATTTCAGTCACGCCAGGATGTCGGCTTCTAAATGAGCTTATTTCCGGCCGCCTGCAGAAGCCACTCTCAGTAAAAATGACTACTTAAATAGCATGAGTTTTCCCGCCTATCCTTGCTTTCACAAATTTCAACATATTTTACAGAAAACACAAAATTATTCTTTCTTGTACTCATTCAGTAGCAATTTACACTTTAAAATGTCATGCTTGAAGAAAGGTAATTTCTAGGCTCTGAAAAAGTTCGTAATCGAAAGATATGTTAAAAGTAATAAAAAGGCCACTCACAGAACATCGTGTCTGTGTATTAAATGCCGCCTAAGAAGTAAACAGCGCCGTTCAAACACGTTGAACAGTTTTGTGAGTCATATATGGCATCTTCCTAATGGCGCAAAGAGATGCATGATTTCGCTTACATGGGTAGCATGCAGCTTGGAAACTCAATGTGCAGGTGAGACTGCAGGTCGGGTTCAAAATGATTCAGGAATTGGAAAAGTTTCTTAGAAAGGAAGGTATCCTTTCTTCGAGTAAAAAATTTGAAGACGTGACTCGCTACCAAACGGGTGCGAAAAGAATATTTTTGTTCAGGCTTTCTATGAAATATATCTGGATTTATGAGGGCTTCGAAAATCAATGAGAAAAATTAGTAGTACTTGAGTCGTCATTTTTTTTACCAGGTGTGCTCTTTGCATGTGGGTGGGAAGAGGCTCATTCAAAAGCCAGCATCCTGATGTGACAGAAATATCTTGACATTATGCCTAAGTAATCCCTTCTAATCGAGGAGGCATCTCAAAACTCCGGTCAACATTTCATGAGATGAGCCAACCACTGAATATGGTCGCTATGGTTAAAAATTAATTTGAGATATAAATGCTGTGAAAAAGTAAGTGCGCTGTCTAATGCCTGAGTAACAAAAGCTGTACACTAATGCAAAGGCACGCACCCTCTTTCACGCGTTGATAGCCTCCCGAGTAGGCGGTCACATGCCGCCGCCACTTTGTCTCTGCCAGGTGGAAGAGTCGTTCATATTTGCGCATGCAAAAGTGGACAAAACGCTGACGTAGTCCTGTCATGACAGACGATGAGCCTGCCGTCCGCTTCTTGGAACAAATAACAATATGAAGAAGGCAGGAAACAGGCAACGGGTCATAAGTCATAATTTGCAAAACTTCTTTTTCGAGGTAAAAGATTGACTGGCGGGGGATGTTCCGTGTTAATAAACATATTGAGGCTTTGAAGACTCAGTACACTGGAGAGACCAACATATTCGAACTTCTTAGCAGAGCAGATAAAAGTTAGAATAGTTAACGATTCGGCAAAAATATAAATACACTGCGGAATAAAGAACCACGGAAGCGTACGCTAATACGAGGGATGAGTACATGAGAAAATTAAGTCAGTAAAAGGCAACACTTCTGGTGTAGTCAACAGGACTAGATTTGTGTCAAGTCTACGCAACGACAACAATGAAAACAAATGTCAAGGTTACTTGTCTTTCCAGAAAGAAACTATTCTACATTCAAGGAAAGAACTGGAGGACTAGATAGCAGTTGGTAGCCATGCACCGCATTACGGGTGGCTGGGGGGTTCGTTTACTGGGGCTATTTTGTGGGATTCGATAATCCCATCTGACCCATTTGGCTTCCAGTTTACGTTTGAGGTTAGGATTAGGGTACCGGTTAATGATTTCCGATTTTCGAGTTGCGTTTGTGCCTTTAGGCTTAGGTCTTCCTGTTACGATTAGGTTTCAGTATTACGGCCAGGTTTTTCAGTTAGGGCTATGTCTAAGGGCTACGGTTACGTTTACGATTTCGGTTAGGGTTGCCGTTAGGGTTAACCGTTAAAGTTTAAGGTTGAGGTTAGAGTTATGATTAGGGTTAAGGTCGCCGTCCGCTTCCCCACTTATAACTACCAACTGCGACCTAGCCAACTGCAGAACTGAAAATTCGTCCAGAACTGGCTAAAGCATCATACGTGGCGAACCGAAATTCTGACGTGGGGCGGAGCGAGACCCAAGTTGGGGAGTTTAAAACGTTCGGTCAACATAGTTACTTTCACTGAGGCTGAAACTTTCCCAATAAGCGTGAAACGTGCGGTGCCGAATCGGTTTCACATGAGAATAAAACGTAAAACAGAAAACCCGGCAGCGGTTGAATGCTAGGATCAGTGCGTCAAACCCCAAGCTACTTGGGTAGAAACGCATATGTCTACAAGAAAACGAGTCTGAGCGCTGTTGCAATCTTTAGTTGACTTGAGAAGAATTCTTGTTCGGCAATACAGACGACCGGCCTCTGGTTTAACCAGATAGAAGTATAGTCTGTGCAAAACAGTAATCTGATATCCAATGGCAATTATGGTGGCAGTGAAGGCCAGAGAGCCCTTCTGCCTTCTGTGGACCTGTGTAACAGTGACCCGAGTTCGGACATTTTAGGCAAGATCGTCTACGGATAGAATAAGCTCCCCCTGAGAGTCCAGTTCACACAACCGAATCAGTTTGTGCAACTGTTGGGAGTAAAGTGACAAAAGCCAGAGAAAAAAATTAAAAGCGGGCGAGGTTTTCGAGGCACTACAAATACTTGGACGAGCCCCAGTGTAGGTAGTGCAGTTCCCACATTGCCTCGCTTTGTCCCTTCCAACTTCTGTCAATTAACTCATATCGAGGCCTCAGCAACCAACCTGGCCCTTCGCCAAAGTACTGGGCGAGGTGTTAGTCAGCCGCATGAGGACTCAAGTGGTTTGACCGTTATTCGCAGTATACACAGACAGCTCCCTTCCCATAACAGACAACCACCTAGCCATTGGGACGACAGAACCCTTGTGCTCGTTTAGCTAGACGACTGGTTAGCTGACTAGTTACGCAGCGGCGAACTGAATGCGGTTTTAATTATAGTAATGGAGACATTAACGATAACGAAGTCCCTCTCTTCTCGCACGCCCAGTGTGCTCTGATGACAACACCATGCAGATTGAGGCAACTAGGGACAGGTTGGGACAGTGGCCGACTGGGCATTCGCCTCGTCTCTCTCGTAAGTCGCACATGCACTGGTCGTTCGGCCAAGCAAAATAAGCCTCCCTCCTTTGGATATAATATTGGAGAGTTGTTATAAGGCCAAATTAAAGAGGTAATGCAGCGCGAACCGTGGTCCTGAGGGCATAACCAGACCATTAGATAGAAAACTCCCAGGCCGAAAAAAGTGAGAAGTGCGTTCGATTTCGAAGAAACGTTGCGCACAATCAGCATCACGCACTCTTTAAGCGGACACGAAAGGGGATCGGGCGTTGTGGCCGACCAGGTATTTTTTGATATTGCAACTAAAGACAAGCACACAGGCACCAACACGACAGCCCCTCAGAGATGTACACCCTTAGAATGAATTTCCCTGAAACATAGAATAACCAGCACACGCCAGCGCGAACTGGTGAGCTGCAAAGTGGCAGGAAAAAGGTGTAAAGGTATACAAGTAGATTTTTTATTCAAAAATATGCACACATAAGCGCTTCAGCTGTCAAAAGAGGCGGGAGTGGGGAGGATTCCGCAGGGCTTTAAGGGTCAGGCAACGTCATAGCTGCCTTCTTGCGAAGACTGCTCATGCGCTTCTTGTGAAGTCGGCTCTGAAGGTGGGCCTGCCATTGCTGCCTCTCCACAAATATCCGACCGTTGCAAGCTGCGCATATATAGGGTGGCAACCCTCCGGTCTCAGTGTCTCCTGCTGGCGGGGACGATGCAACCGCGACAGGCCGGAAGGGTTCCGGTGAGGGAGGCGGAAGCTGGTCATCAGGCAGCTGTGCACGAAAAGCCGGGGGTAGATTTGAACGCACTATGCGCAGAGCAGGTTGCAGCACGTCACGGGACCACAATGCCTCTTGACTGGTGGTTGAGGTATCAGGTCTGTTCAGGACGTTGGTGACGTCCAGCCGGTAGACGGGAATACCGCCCTCAGCAGAGCGTTCAAGGAATCGCTTGATTATCCATGATCTCTAAGAAGAAGAGCGGGGTAGAAAAGCTTGTGAAAGCGGGGTTGATGAAGTGAGCAGAAAAATCTTCAAATAGGCAACTGCATGCCCACGGAAGGGATTCCTTCAAATGGATATCAAATACGAAGACGAAGCCTGTACGACATTCAACGGACTCCTTCAAAAATCCTTGGAAATGGAGAGGCTGAGAAATCTCCCTAGCTACTCACCCAAAGAGAAGATATCGGTGAGATTCGAAATCTAAGAAAAAGAACGACAGTAGGCAAACACGGCTTCCTCAGCTGTGTCGACCGAGGAGAAAGAAAATAGTTGGTTTATGAAGCTCGATATGAATGAGAACAAGTGTCTAGTGTGTGAGACGGGTAACAAGACGGTACCTCATCGAACAAAAACATGCCTCAGAACACCTCGAGAAGACACAGAGAGTCAAAGAAGGGAGCAAGATTTGGCTAAACCGCAAACAAAAGTCGTGCTGCCGAAAATGGCGAATGACCAAGACACCGTAGTTAAACGGGGAGTCATACGCAAGTCCTGCCGAGTCAAACCTTTCGAAATCAGAGAATGGCGGCAGCCGACATATCTGTAATGAAGTCTCTGCACGCATGACTAGATCACAAGGCTCCTGAGTTGGTCGCGGTAAATGCATTCCCTATGAAAATAGATCTCGTCATAGAGGCATGAGGGGAACTTTAAAATAGCTTCAAAGGAGAATGCGCGGTATGAAATTTGGAAATTATAGGAACACGTAATTTATTTGAGGCGCGGTTAGGCGTAGCGAGTCTCGTAACCCTTCTAAACGGCGACTTCCTGTAACTCCCTTGTTGATTTCCCGTCGGCTTCCTCTAGAAGACCACTAAGAGACCGCGTGCCTAGTGGATTCATCCGTGTGAACTTTAAAGACGATGACGACAAGGCGCGATGAATGTTGTCATCGCAAATTCTAACAGTTCATAGAATATTTGGCAGGAATAGATTGGTGCAGAAAACACAGAAATACGACTGCTTAGTGGTACTACCAAGAACTGACAACAAATAAGTACGCGCGGATACGGTTGTCAGAGAGCTTTTATCTCGCCTTTCCATGTGAGAAAGCCGCAAAAAATTGGTAAAGCGAAGACGAGGTGATAAAAGGTTAGGTAGGATTGGTGATAACTGACCTGCCGACGTGCGTACTGCCTAGTTGCAAATTGCATGCGCTCTATTGCGGCGGAGAGTAGGCGTTTTGCCTCATCGCTATGACGTTCCGCCTCCGGCAAACGAAGATACAGCTCAAACTCCTTGAAGCCGATGCTCTGTAGAATACCACGACACCAGTGTTCAGCACCCACCGAAGGGAGGAGCCCGTCGTTGGCCAGTCGAAATATCTCGTTTTTTGTGGCGTCGTCTAGGACTGGTCAAGACAATATTCGCACTGTCAGAGAGGTTTGCTTTTAAAATCACCGTCCGGACTTAAAAAGCATATCGAATTTTAATTAAAGGCACTGGTAAGTACTTAGGGTGCGGAGGTCCCCTTCATTATCCGTCGGGCGCAGGAAAGAAGAACAAATTACACATGCTCTGTGAAGTGCATAAATGGTGTTTGAAATGACTCGGAAAAATCCAGTCTAAGAAGCGCTATCTCCACGCGTATCTGATAGACGAAAGGCATGAAGACCGAAAATTCCATCTAGTCGCACAAGCCGATTCGGTAGAGAATTCCAATCGGGCGAGATAACAGTGAAGAAATTCGACTTCCTCCAGCTTTACAAACAGTGACATATGAGCACGAAGTTCCTGGTACCGATCGGTCACATCAACAGGTAACAAACCGCAAAAATCTACCGGTAGGCGAAAAGCTTCATGCACTTTGTTGGACTCGATGTGTTTTATGCCATGCGGGCAACGCCAGGAACCGGTAGTCCTATGCAAGTACACATAAACACGGTAACTGTGAGGGTCGGATAAACAACTCTGGTGGATGAGCATAGTGCAGTACCCGACCGCATCTTTAACCTCCGGGCCACCGAAAAAAACAGGTCGCAAGGTCAGAGTGGCATTGAATGAGTGGCACAAAAGTTCGCATGGAACAATCATGGTGCGGTTTGCCACTCGGCATGAGGCTGTACCTCAGGCACAGGGGGCATGCACGAGAAGGAAGACAGGGTTGAGGGCGTGTTCCAAGAAATGTGGCAGACGAAGTTCACGTTCAGCGCGCGTCCCTCCCTATGAAGAGACCAAAGAGATGTCTGAAAGGAGACAACTCAGGCAGCAGAATTGTCCTAAATTTCCACACGCTGGTAGTCGACCCAGCTTCTTTCTTCGGAAAGAGAGCATGAGACTAACGCAGGCCAGCTAAAACCCTAAGGGAGCAAGCTGCTGGCATGAGAAACGCCTACAACTACTGCTTTGCCAACATACAGTAGGTGGACTAACTCATGAAATGTCGATCGAAATGCCGAAATTCGTTTCGAAAAGATTAGTTACGTATGGTTGTAAAAGTAATCATCGAGCAGCATAGATCTGTAATAATTCAGTTACCTCAGGATGCCGGTTTTCGAACGAAGTTCTTTCCGGTTGCATACACAGTCTGTGCTCTATAAGAAATGACTACTCAAGTAGCATGCATTTTTCTCACAGATTTTCGATGCCCCTAAAAGTCCAGTTATACTTCGTGGGAAAAATGCATAAAAAATATTCATTCTTTTGCTTATTCGGTAGAAAATTACGTCTTCTTCCAATTTTATGCTTGAAAGAAGGGTATAATTCGGTTTTAAAAAGTTTCCAATTGTGAGATTTTTAATACCGTGAAATGACCATTCATAAAATGTCATGTCTCTGCATTTACAAATGCGGCTCAAATCCGCCGTTAAATTTTATGAACCCCATATGGTCTCCTCTTGATACCGTAGAGAAATGTATTGTTTTCCGTACGCGGAAAATATACGGCTTGTAGTTTGGAAACCCTGAATACGAGTATTGAGGCAGGTCAGGTTCAAAATTATTCGGGAATTGGAAAAGCTCATAAAAGCCGATATCCTTCCTTCAACTATAAAATTGGAAGAAGACGTAATCTTCTTCTGAATGAGTAAGAGAATGAATATATTTATGCATGTTTTCCAGGAAGTATAATTGAATTTTTAAGGGCATCGAAAATCAATGAGAAAAATGCATGTTACTTGAGAAGCCATTTTTTACGGCGTATAGTTTTTGCATGCAGCTGGAAAGAAGTTCGTTCGAAAGCCGGCATCCTGAGGTAACTGAACTATTATAGAATTATGCTGCAAGATGATTAGTTTTACAACCCTACTTAATTAATCTTTTCGAAACGAAGACGCATTTCGGGATTTTGGTTGACATTTCATGAGTTAGCCCACCTACTGCACTTGAGGCATATTAGGTCCCGTCAATGTCCTCATATAGGTCTATTTGCGAACTGGTCTCAGTAGCATGACAATGAAGGCCGAAAAACACCAACTAGTGCTGGGTACCGTTTGCTAAGATCGCCCGCGGATGGGCTCAGCTCCTTCATAACACCAAAGATATATGGCCCAGGGGTCAAAACATCAAAAGGCAGAGGCCTGTTCACCTCTCAATTAACTGATGTTGTGTTTGAAACTATCTGAAGACCTAAGGGTGCCGACCTTTTTTGCTGTTGACGATGGTAGAAGGTAATAGGGAAGTGGCTGCAGAACAGAGAAAGCGATCCAGCTCCGCAATCAAGCCCCTCTCTACCATCTGATGGATCCGCTGATCAAGCCGTGGTTTCAGTACGTCTGGGTCGCAGTCAAGCCAAATGATTAAACTCTGGGGATCGTTGTACTTAGGCAAGTAACTTCGGTTGGTTGACACGTTGGGTGCCGGTGCTGTTGACGACGGTTCGGGGCCGAGCGTCTCCAACCGGTTTTGAGTCTGAGGCCGTTTGTTGATAGCCAGTCTGGACAGGATGGCCTGCTGTAGCTTCCTCGTGTCATTGGGGTGAAGGCCTCTGGCCGCTGGCTCATCTAGATTCCATAGGAAGGCGTAATAGTCCTGTGGGTTTGAAGGCAGCTCGCGCCTGTGAAATAAGGGTGAGGCAAAGAATACAAACGTTAGGATACGAAAAGGCTTAAAATTTACACTGGAATAGATGTCACATTGTGTTTGGCGCCAATTGGTCTGTCAGACAAAAACGACTACTGAAAGCTACAAGGAGGAAAAATACTGAGGAAACATGACAATAACACACATGTAAATAGCAAGCAGATATCTGGAGGGCCACCTGGTGGCTTGACAACAGAAAACAAAGAATCGACAAATGAAGCTAAACAAAATAAATTCCATGAAGACGACTTCATCCGCAAATTTACTCAGCCTGACGAACGAGTCCAGAATTGTTAGGCTATCTATGAAAAGCGTTCAACGGGATATATGCGAGGTTGTTGATATCTCTGCTCGCCAGCGGTGCCGTATACTTAATCAGATGCAGTCGCCTGGCGTGTGCAATTCCTGCCGGGGTAAGCAACAATACATTGGAGCCAAGATAATGGGTGTCACTTAATTAACAGGATCAAAAGCCATGTGCAGATGAGAATTAGAAGACAGGAGACATTGGCAGGTTCTATTCTGTACAGAAGTCTGAAGGGCAGTTGTAGTAAGAAGTGAGCGTTGGTCGATGGCCAAAGGTATTCGTCAATCAGCTAGAACCGGGTGCGAGTGAGGGCCTCGAGGGAGTGTATGACACAGTCGGTGATACAAAACAATGGTTTTATGGGGCGTGGCGTGGTGTGTCGTGCATGGCACCTGCGGGCGGTAGGCTAAGGCGTACGAAAATGTGTGGAAGAAGTCCAAAAGATGGGAATCATGTGTGCTTCGATTGTCGGGTTAGCTATTCCTGAAAAACAGCCTCCGATTTCGGAACGCGCTCTACATTGTATTGGGAACAAAGCCATGCAACAAGAGAGGGTAAGATGTGATTTGGAAGTTTAAGGAGCTAGCTTGAACAGTTGTAGACTACGAACGGCAATAATTCAGTCAACATCGCTGCTTAGAAGCCAGTGAATTCTACTCAGCCGTCTTGGAACCTCGTGGGAGGTGAAACATCTTTGGATCAAACAAGAAGAACTAAAGCAGAGTCACTAAAATCAGTCGGCAACTTAGCCCTGATCACAAGTTTTGAGGCAGAATTGTATATTTTACGAGCTAGACTTTACAGTAATTCTTCGGGCCATGACTGGTGCGGCAGGTCCTCCAGAGGTTTCGTCTGCTCCTCTACAGCTTCTGTTTCCCCTTTCTCCACCAAGGAAATGGCGCTCAGTGTTTCCTTACTGTCGCACACGATCGTCCGCGCCTGGAGGAAGTCCTTCCACAGTACGGCCTCAATGTAGTAGTGAGTGCCACCTGCAATAATCGGCAGACGGGGTGAGTCAGGAAGGTTTATTCTGTCGATTAGGTTCCAACAGTCGGTTCGATAGTGGTGGACATTGTAGCGAAAACCGTCCCGCGGATCGAGGATCCCTAGTAGGTGGTGCTTAACGCCCTGCATCTCCGCTTCGGAGACCTGTTGAGGAGCAGATGGGTGACGCAGCAAAATCGTACAAAATAGATATCAGCAGCACAATTAACATTAGCTGACTCGGAAACAGACATAACCTTGGGACGTCTTAGGTCAACACTGGATATGCAACCTGCTTTAAAGTAAAATAAAACGAGATTCGCCTAAAAATGGAAAAGTGGGCTGGGACGACGACAAATGGCGGAGCAGCAGTTGATTTCAACCCAAACTTGTGAGAAGAAAATAATTCCTTTGGAAGATGCATTTGCCGGCAAGAATTTCAAAAACTCGCAATTTGGCTGACGCCCACCAGTGCTGTCCAAACCCAGATTACAATTCGTGCGTCATTTTTCGTCATGAATAACCGTTGGGAGACGATGCTAATGGGGCTTTCTCTCTCTTAACTACACCGTTTGACGGGATTGCAATCTGAGAACATTTAGGGTGACCCTGAATGAATAACGCAGGCTGAAAGACTGAGATGGGTTTGGGGTCTGCGTTTTGAACGTTGCACTGGTTTTTAATTGGCAATATTAATTGGAAGTCATTGAACAGGGCACCAAACATTTTTGAGCATTTTATTCGCGAATTGGCCGATTCGACGCAAAGAGTGCAGCGAACTTCATTACAACTTGCTTGCACATGACATTTTCATCGAGCTCCCCAAAACGCCGGTGATCTGTCGAGGAACACAGTCTCTTGGGACTCTAGAGCATAAACATACGCGCGTCGATTAAAGTCAACGGACTAGAGTCGCCAATGGTAAAGAGCATTTGATGATTCAATGTTTGTGTTGTTTTAATTTTCGTTCGTTGGAAAAAGCAGGTCGACGGTTATGGCAAGCCGGCAAAGGCTATTCATTAGGTCAGCAATTGTCCGATATATCGTCACACATTCTAGATACAAAATTACTTTTTCGTTGATGCTTCATTGACCCAAGCATTGTGTATGTGTGGGATCGAAAAAATGAAATAGTTGACGAAAAAATGCTTTTATACGAAATCATTACACAACAGAACCAGCTAAATTTATCAGCATGGAATGTGTTTCATTCGGTATATTGCACCTAAGTCACAAACGAATCTCAAGATGAACGGTGACTAACAGTCTTCTTTGGAATACGGCTACATTATTATGGTCAAGTAAACGAGACGTCAGCAATGCATAACGCTGAGAAGTTGGAGGCAATGTCATTATAGTCTATCCGGCTGCTTACCAAGTTGTGTAATGAATGGAAGTGTAAGCCAGTAAAGGATTTGATTAATGGTCTTTGGATAAGACATGCAGGATAGTAAGGAGTGTGCGCAACTACAGGAGTCTTAGTGCCTAGTCAGTGAATTAGAGGACCGTACCCATCCGGTCACGTAGGGCGTGAGACTTTACATCTTGATTATTGTCCGACATTTTGGTTTCCGTCTCCACCATGAGCCATCTTTATGGACAAGAAATGGGCGCGGGGAGCGTCTCTTAGGAATTCTGAAGACATGGCCTGGCAAACTAATTTCTCTGAGACGGACCAGCCGACTAATCAACCGCGCACATTAATACTCGAAGCATATGGAACGGTAAACTGGATCTCTTGTCTAATCAGGCAATTTCACAGGCCTGCTGTCCCTAAGACTTGTGTGGTTAGCTTAACTTTCCGACCTCTAAAACGGTCGACAGTCCCATAAACCCTATTGCAACCTTGACTGGAAACCATGTCGATCTCAGTGGTGACAGAAAATAATACAGGCTGCACAAACCCCTCTTGGACTAACTAACGCTTCGTCAACTACAGATTGTGCGGACGAAACGACAGTGTGTAAATGACAGTATATATATATATATATTGAGAAGAAAAGGCGATCTCGGGAACCATGGTTATATATATATATATATATATATATATATATATATATATTGAAACGTAGGCATCCCAAGAAATATAAGTTGAAGTTAAAGGCGTTCTTTGGGAAAATGAACTTTATTGCGTAAATTTTCGACGCCGGTTCCCCAGGTCGTCGTCAGACGCAGACTGAGAGTAAATGTGCCGACAACAGTTAACATCTGGTATCGCACGTGGCATACGTTTGCTTGGGACAGAACACGGATTGTCGGCGCCTGCCCCTTCAAGAAAGGCCGAGAGTTCCTTGAGGCCATGCACTCGGATGAATCGTGCATCAACCGTCACATTGAGTTGGACGCCGCGTACAAAAGTCTCAAGGAGAAATGGAAGAGACGAGAGCCAATCGGCACAGAATGACGCAAATAGCGGCCGCTCACGGGCACAAACGCGAACGATTATCGATTTTTTCCACGTGCGATACCAGATGTTAACTGTTGTCGGCACATTTACTCTCAGTCTGCGTCTGACGACGACCTGGGGAACCGGCGTCGAAAATTTAAGCAATAAAGTTCATTTTCCCAAAGAACGCCTTTAACTTCAACATATACATATATATATATATAATGTTAGGGGGCGCTCACCGATCGTTCATACGGAACTCACTCGTTCCGTTGTGCCTTATGGACTCTCTCTCGAGCCTAACCAGCAGCCGCACAGCGGCGCATGATATATAGGCAGAATGATATTACCGACAAAGACAAGGGAGACTGGAATGGCCATTTCTGGCTTATTAGCCGTCGTCAGCCAGCCATACCCAAGCCCGAAGTGTGGAACACCCGAGCCTCGAACTCGCGACCTGTTGGTTTAGAAGTCAACGCCTCTACTCACCGGGCCACGAGCCCGTTGCCCGGTGCCGCCGCTGTGCGGCTGCTGGTTGGGCTCGAGAGAGAGTCCATAAGGCACAACGGAACGAGTGAGTTCCGTATGAACGATCGGTGAGCGCCCCCTAACATTGTATATTCCCGATTGAAAACCGACAGGGCAACGGGCTCGTGGCCCGGTGAGTAGAGGCGTTGACTTCTAAACCAACAGGTCGCGAGTTCGAGGCTCGGGTGTTCCACACTTCGGGCTTGGGTATGGCTGGCTGACGACGGCTAATAAGCCAGAAATGGCCATTCCAGTCTCCCTTGTCTTTGTCGGTAATATCATTCTATATATATATATATATATATATATATATATATATATATATATATATATATATATATATATATATAGTTATTTCACTTTCTCAAGTGTACTCATACGGGCATCAGTCCATTTCCGTCGTAAAATATAAATCATTATGTTGGGCAACAGCAAAATAGGAATAAATAAACACTCATTTCGAGGCCCAGCGCATACCAAAATCTAACAAACAGTGCATTAAGAGAATCAAGCATCTCCTCAACAAACATAAGATCATACCAACCTTGTTGGTCGCGATGTCAAGGCCCTTATACAACTGAACAGCATCTGCATTCAAGACCTCACCGTTGAAAGCCAACGCGAGATCGATTGCCAATTTCGACTTGCCGGTTCCAGTAGCACCGCAGACTGCAACAACTGGTAGTCGCATTGAATGGAGAAGGCTGAAAGATAAATCCTCATGAGGACGAAAGGGCCGTGCGAATAGTACATTAAGAAGGTTAGAGACTGATGATTCTACCAGGAGTCACTAAGACGAGTCCACTTCGGTTATAAATATTTACTGGCGCCAATGGGTAATAAAAAATAAATAAGAGTCTGTCAAGCTTTCGGACAAAGCCTGTGAGAAAATTAATAACAAGCTCGGATTCAAGCATTAAAGCTGGAAAACACGCAGTATTTAAAAATAAAAGACGCTGACAACTGGTTTCGAAAGGTAATTCCAACGTGAGAATAGTGGTCAATCAAATGTCAAGATAACCACACACGGAATAGATTTAGAACTATGCACCTGCATTGTTTTTCAAATTGTGAAAAATATAACTTTAGGACTAAAGCGAATAGTCACGACCAAAGTTGAGAATCTCAGTTTCTGTCAACAACAAGGCCGATAAAATAACGAGTATATGGGCTTCTCTGCAGACGAGCATAGGTGCAAAACATGTTGGAGAAATACTTATTAGAGGCATCTAGGTACTTCAGGCTACCCTGCCAATGACACTTGGAAATTTCGTTGCACAGGTACAATCACATCTACCTGGAATATGTTTGAACGTATTGATGAGTCAAACTATATGGCTAGAGAGTGTGTCTTCATCTTGTGTCACGCAAATACAGCAGAAAATGATTTCATCTATAGCTCTGGTTGGACGAAGTCAGGGAGGAATGTTGTAAACATTTTGTAAACGACCAGAGTAGAACTGAGACGGGACTATTAGCACTCCGGGGTTCCTATTGTATAACGCTAAGAAGCTTCCGCAGAACAAGATTAACGTATAAATTACACGTTTTCCCATGGGTGCCACCTTCAATATTGTCGACCGGACTAGTGTCTTAATTAAGTAATAGAGAATGTCCAAAAACAAACAAGTTGTCTTACTTGCTCACGTTACATTTTGCCCCTTTTTGTGATGCGTGAATAAGCAGACAAGCCATACGTACTGTCAGCACTGTGTGCTCTGATGACAGCTCCAACCCTAAATTCATTTTTGACGGAGTTACGAAAAGCAAATTTATGGCTAACCTTGAGTCTGCGGGTCAAATTGAAATACATAAATCAGGAACTAGTTTACATGTTATTAGAGGTGTCATAGTTATTGTTGCCTGTCGTTTCTATCATTATCATGAATAAATGTCACGCCAAATAGGCTGACCCGCACTGTTAAAACCGCCTAATGAAAGCGGTTACTTAAATAAGCACTATTTCGGGATCTCCGAAGTTAAAGAAATTAAACTCTTTTCTCATGGCCCAGTTTTTCTAACGTGTGTATCCTCCCTCCCCTATGCTGATGAGGATCACTGATGAGCCCGGCCTTATCTGGTGTCAAAAACTGCGGCAGAGGTAACGACCACTGCTTTCAATATATAAACGAAAGCGAAATGCGTAGAATGCGACTAACAACCCCAGATTGTGACTGTGCAAGCGCAATAGTGCCTGCTGTTGGATTAAGGCCTCGACAATCGATTTACTTTGCTGGGAGCCTCTGTAAAGGGATGAACCCAATCCAGAGTGATAAAATGCTGGATAGTACTAAATGCAAAGGAATACAGACACGGAAAAACAGCAATAAATGCCACTTCTCCGCCTACGAATGGCCCCGGGGCCATTTGCTGCTATATGGGGCTAGGTCCCGTGCAGTTTTGATGAAGTTTTGTCCTTGGTTATGATGTCATTCTGCCTTATATCGGGCAAATTTGGTGTTCTTTCAGGTACGTATATGCTGTGTTGCCTGCACAATGCATTTCCGGATAATTAGAATCGAAAGAACTTCCTCCCTCTGTAAGAAGAATATTGGCCTCATCGCCCTGATAGCATTCTACTCGCCCAGTGGATTTTTGCAACAATCCCAGCGGACACTGTCCACACGGGGACAGTAGGTTGACGCGCCTTCTCGGGCGAGTTGGGGGCGTTGTAGCCCGAGGCGGTTTAAGTCGTCAGACAGGGGCCCAAATTCTGGACAAATTGCGTGCAAGAACCCATCATGTGTGCGTACGCACAAAGGGGCCCTCGAGGCGTGACGTGTGAAAAGCACTTGGGTGAGCATCGAGGAAGGGGGTGTAGCAGAAAAGCTCCTTTCCTCGCAGAGATCGAGCTTTTTCAGCCAGTCAGTTTACTAGTCCTGCACTAGCCCGCAGGTCAAACGAGCCAGAAAATGTCTAGCCCTTGGTGAATAAATGCTATCAGGGTCGGTTCCGGTTTATTGAATAGGTCAAAACGAGGGTCTACAGGGTAAACCAGAAAGACAGGAAAGAAATGTTGACAGGGGAAAACACTATACAAATCGACATCGCAAACACTATCTAACTGGTTTGGGAAAGTCTTTAATTAGATCACCATTAGGGCCTGTGCGCTTTCTTGCGGGGGTCCAGTATATAAAATACATTTGACACGGGGCTATAGTTAAAACTACTCACTGCTTATTTCGACCTTATTTACTATTATTCAATCACGCATGCATTCTTCTCCACTTCCCTTAGCCGGGCGCCGTAGCGGAAAACGCACGCAAAGGCCAAAAAGCGAAAGACCATCCTCGGCGCTTTAAATTCAGTATATTTAAATCACAACCTTAGAGGCGGCAGGTAAAGATTATAGATTAACATCATCATGTTCCAGCCCGTATGTTCGAGGAAAGTGGACATCACTTCGATTATAGATCTATACTAGTTCTGAGTCCGAGTGAGGTACTGGAGAACTCAACAAAATTTTATAAGAGACCCTTAGGAGGCTCGGAACGGAGGTAGGAACGTCTGACGGACATGCAAACGGGAAAAGCAGATAAAAAATACAGCAGGAACGTGAAAGCACAGCGAAAATTCACATGACAGCAAGCTAAACACGAAAATGCACCATCAACTGAACGGCAAGCAATATCTATATATATAAAAATGGAAGGATTTTTTTCCTGTGTTATATCTAATCTCCGAAAGTACTGCACCGATTGCGCTGAAATTTGGACACAACCCGACCCGCGCATACGGCCGGGTTTTTGGCTGTTCAGTTGTGTAATTATGCCGATGGTACGCCTGTGATGGGTAGAAAACCGGATTTTTTCCGGCATAACAACGCCACCCGCTGCGGCCACTTGACCTACATCCGCTTGTGCCCACACGTCTACCCGCCGAGCCACTTGACCGAAATTCGCTCAAACGCACGTGTTCCGCCCGACTGCCGCGCTCACCCCACCACCCACCCCTGCAGGCACTTGAGCAGGCCCTCCACCCTCCCTGGGCCGCTGCAATATGGGCCGCCGGAGCAAACCACCCCTGAGGCAAAAAAACACGCAACACTTGGACGCCACTTAAAACTGCCCCACAGTCGACATAACAGTGCCGTCACCGCTGCCTTGGGGATTTTCGGGGGGTGAGGAGTGGATGCAGTTAACACCAGCGCCTGCCTGTCCCCCCCGCACAACACACATAATGGGGCAGTCGCCCAATGTCAGCTCAGTATTGTGCAGCTCGGCTTGCGGAAACCGGGTTGCGGTCACGGCTGCCGCGTTCCGCAGCTTCAGGTCTGCTAAGTTCAGCAACAGGATGAACACAGCCAGCTGGGAGTGGCGAATGGCGCCAGCGAGGAACAGCAGACCAGCGTCAAACACGACTCCGTGTTCAGCATTCACGTAGCCTGATGCTGTTGTAAACGACGGCGCGACAACAACCGTTGGAAGAGTAACGATTTTAGGGTAAGGTGATACCATATATACCGGCAGTTGGAGACCGATTCCAGCGCAACATACATTTACTTATCAGGATGGTACCAATGGATATCCCTTCAACGTTAGGATGATAAATGCCGTCAGTGACGAGGTAACACACATGAAATGCAGCGCAATGAACCACTACTCCTACTGACTTATGATTCGACAGAATGTAAGTAATTCCCCTTTTGAAATGCCGTCAATTGCTTCATCACTGCATTGCGGATATGTGTGCAAAAATCTAAACTGAACGCCTGCTGCGCTCTGAAGAATATATTCCTTTGCCTGATGCTGTTGTAAACGACGGTAATACAGATAACGTTGTAAGACTAACGCTTTTGTCGTCCACGTACACAGAGTGTCCACGCCATATATTCGAATACGCTCGAGGTGCAATTGTTTATTTTTTCCAGTACGGGGCGTCCAGACCTACTCATAACATTCAAATGCAATCGAGCTTGGTAATGTTTATCAGCTCTTACCTCCCGGGCAATCGACGGTAAATAGGTATGACATCACAGCACGTGTTTTCAGGAAGAAACTGCAATCGCTGATGAACTTCATGGTGAAACACGAGGTGGTTGGTTCTGTGCGCTGCTGGATGTATTAGGTGGAACGGCAAAAGACGGGACTGCCCCATACATATGCCATGATCTGGCTCTATCTATAACAAGACCCCTTCCAACGAAATCGACGACGCAGTATGCAACGAATTACCTGAAATCGACGTTGACAATGATTTGCATGAAGTTGTGCCGAAGAATATGATACATGGACCTTGGATGCACAGAATCCCAATTCTCCAACCCCCCCCCCCCGGCATGATAGACGGAAGTCCCTTATACCGAAAATGATCAGTGGAAGACATCGGCAAATTGGCAACCGTACGAATGCGAATCGGTGACATATAAGTCGGTAACCGCTGGGTTGTTTCGTATTCGCCTTTGCTTTTAAAAGCAAACGCAGCTCATATAAACGTGGAACACTGCAATTTTGGGAAATGAATTAGGTACATTTGTAAGTACGTGAATAAAGGCAGCGACATGGCCGTTTTCGGCCTGCAACACGAAAGTAGATAAAGGGATGCGGACATACAGCACAATGAAAGCGCACAGTATTGGGCTGGAAGATGCGTCAACGGCAAAAAATCCACGTGGAGAATTCTTCTATTCCCCATCCATGAGCGAAGTCCAGGGGTTGTTTGCTTGCAGTACAGTTAGAGAATGGGCAATGCGTTTACTTTACCGATCCAAACGCCCAACAGGTTGCCTTAGGTCCACTGGCAACAACACCAACTGCGTTCTGCACGTTAAGCCAAAGTGACGCGTTTGCGAAAACATTGCCGCATTCGAAAGTGCCTACGTATTACACAGGGAATGGGCGTAGAAAATCATCCGAACAACGCAAACGAGGAGAGCAAGTGGACGGACACCCCGGCATTCTCAAAGGAACTGCGATTGGCAGACTGCATGCCGTGCATCCCAATCTTACTTCGCATGGTGTTGATGAATGTGCCACGTCCAACGTATTTCCAACAATTGAAATCTGTCAACGGCGCTACACATGCCACTTTCTGCAGTGCGTGTCAGGCTCTTCATTTGCTGGAGAACGATCAACAGTGGGACGTATGTATTAGTGACGCCTGCAACATGTCCCATCCACATCAAATTCATGCATTGTTTGCAGTCATATTGATCGCATTCTCTCCTCATCTCCAGCAGATTTACAGGAGAAATAGAATTTGCATATGGCTGAAGATACCTTCCGTCAACTACGCAAGGAAAATTCAAATGTGACTTGCACAGCAGGAATCTACAGCGAGGCGTTAGTATTGATTTAGGATATGTACGCAGAAATCGCGAACAAAGTTCTTAATCAACTGGGATTGTCACCGCAAAACCAATCGCTGCTGCTTCGTTTGATGTGGATTGGCGCCATGAGCAAAATGAAACACGGTTTAACTTCTGCCATGCTTGCAATCAAACATTCACAAGCTAAGACTGGAGCAGAATGCATTTACGATCAAATACTGCGGAATGTCAGTAACGGGGTTGGAGGGATCTCCTTCCTAGATGCGCCAGGAGGGACTGGCAAAACGTTCCTACTACGACCGATTCTGACGGCATTTCGATCCAATAAATGACATAGCCCTAGCACTTCCATCCCGGAATAGCTGCAACTCTGCTACCTGGCAGAAAACCCGTTCATCCAGCTTCGAAATGGCCCTTGAACGCGCAAATCATTAAAGCTCTCGCGTGCAGCATTTCCAAAGCATCCGGCATGGGAAAAGTTCTGCAGAAATGCAAACGTATTGATTGGGATGAATGCACAATGGCGCAAAAAAGCGCTCGAGGCCCCTGATCGAGCACTGCAGGATTTGCGAGGAAACAGCAGACCATTTCTGGTGCACTGCTACTGCTTGCAGGAGACTTCAGGCCACCGCTGCCTCGATCGACACCGGTGGACGAAATAAATGCCAGTCGTCACCACCTACTTCAGAATTCTCGAGCGCGACTGGGTGCAGCAAGCAATTGCACTACCTTCGACAGCGGCTAGGAAGACAATCCTGGGTTTCGCACACAATACGTACCGCCAACCGGTGTCCCTTACATTTTTCTTAATTGGGAACGTGCTCCTACCTCTTTCCCTTATTTCCCAATTCATCAGATTGAGCTACAGCAACGCGTGGCGGGGGCCGGCTAGTATTAGATAGGAAGCCAGACTTTGCATGTGATTTGCCGAAATGGCTTAAACAAGACGCAAGCTTCGACACCTCCGTAAGAGAAAGGAGAAATCAAGATTTTTTTCTCCCAATCTTTAAAAAACCGAAGGCACGTCAGTAATTGCAAGGCAGTAAAAGAGTCTGATTTTAGGTGCATATTTTGCGGGTGAAGACCACAGAGACGAATGCCCCTTTAGGCAACTGTCCACACTTTAGCTTTGGCTTACCTACGCATAAACTCTTTTTTTCAGTTCGACACAAGTATGTCTAGTCACAATGCTCTAGTGCAAAACATACGCTGGTAGAAGTTTCCTTTTTCTAATTCCACTTGCCTTCTCATGACTGAAGACGCTACTTTAGGGGTTATTATATGTGTAGGTTATAGCTCTGACTAAGAAAGAATGGAACCTTGCGCATGTATCCGACCCAAACGCCGCCTGAGTTTTCTTAAGAAATGTTGTTCGATACTTGGTGAAATACTGTTGTCCACTTAAAAAGGAATCGTGCGTCTCTCGACCAGAGTGTGTGACATCGGAAATGAAAAGCAACCTCAAAAAGAAAAGGAGACTGCGGAAGAGACACGCCACATGTCAACGGTCTGAATATCTCGCAGAGTTGAAGAAACAGCGAAATAGATGTCGGAGTCTCCTGAGGAGAGGACGAGCAGCAAATAAGTCAAAAATAGTCAAAAGATACCGAAAAATCCGAAGAGGTCTTTCGTATATGTGAAGAGGGCACAACACAATCGGGACTCAAATTCTTGTCTTCAGACTCACCAGGGAAATAAGTTAACTGATACATCCGATAAGTTGAATGCCTTACCCAACTTCTTCGTGTTTGTCCACACCGAGGAGCCGCCTTTTGATACAAAAATACACCGTCAAATTTGCTCCACCCAGAAATACAATTCACACGGTGACGTTCACAACGGACGCTGTACGGAAACCGTGAGACAGCTACAGCCCCTAAATCGCTTGCTCCGGATGGCATATCTGCAAAATTTCTGGAGGAACTCGCAGATTAACTAGCCTTCCCGACCTCCAAGATTTTCCAAAGTTTAATGGAAGTGGGAGCTCTGCCTACTGACTGGAAGCTAGCCAACATAAATCCAGCATATAAAGGGGGAGGGAGAACCTCGCCAAATAGCTTCAGACTAGTGAGTCTCACAGGCACTTGTTGCAAATTAATGGAGGAAATAATAAAAAGGTGGGACATATTGAGGAGAACGATTTAATTAGTGAGCACCAACGTGGATTTAGAGGCGGTCGATCCTGTCTCACTAACCTGCTCACATCAGTGGAAAGCTGGGCGAAATCCTTAGAGGAGGGTTTGTCAGGAGATTTAGTCTAGAATGACTCCAGTAAAGCCTTTGACAGGGTGCCACACAGACGGCTTATATGTAAACTGCGCCATTTGCGTTTGACTGGTAACTTACTCGTGGTTAGCCGATTTCCTCACATGCCGTCGTCAGCGTGTGTGCATTGTTGACGCCAAATCTGAGAGCGAAACTGTCCAAAACGGGGTTCCGAAGGGGAGCGTCCTGGGTCCCATTCTGTTCTTAATATATCTGAACGATCTCCAAGATTGTCTAACCTGCGAGAATATAATGTTCGCCGATGATCTGATGATGTGGAATTCATTTAAAAACCAGAGGTCACGCTAAACTTGCAAAACAACTTAGACCGACTGTAACAGTGGCTTGATGAATAACTTCTCAACCTCAATATTAACAAACGTCAATTTATCCGATTAAGGTCTAGTTACAGAAAGGTTTTGAGATCTGAATATCAGTATTTCCTTGGAGGTCACAAACTCGACCTTTTAAACAAGGTAAAGGACCTAAGATTGTGAATGATATCCACTCGCAAACCCTCGTCTCACTGCGCCAAAATAGCTAAGACGGTCATGGGTATCCTGGGGACGGTCAAGCGATCCTCCTACAACTTTGATAAAGAGCTTTTTGGTCGGCTGTTTGGAACACTCATCCGGCCGATTTTAAAATATGGCATTCAGGCGTGGTGTCCCTGGATAAAGCAACACTACACTCCCTTAGAGAACGCGCAAAGAAAAGCAGCTTAAATAGTCGGTTGGTCGAAGAGTCTACATTATGAGGAACGTATAGAAAGGCTCAAAATTTTTCCTCACTCTTATAGGCAATACATAGAGGACATAATCATGGTCTTCAAACTCGTAAAGAGAAGAAGACTGTGCACTTATATTGACTGAATTTTTTAACTAAAAAATACTACATATCTCCGAGGCCACTGATATAAATTGA